GTCCAAAGGGGCGCTTATTAATGCAGAGATTTGGATTCAAATCGTACAGAGCACGCCACTTTCGGGAGAGACTTTCAGTATTGTTTGTGGAGAAGAAAGCAAGCCTGGCTGAGTATTGTCTTCCCCAGTGTTAATCACTTCTGCTGAAGCAAGCAGGTGCTGCGACTCAGAGCTCGCAGCACAGGGGGAAGGGAAACATCACTGGGACTCATCTGCATGATGGATTTTTGCCATTCTGGCTCATTAAGCCACAGCCCAGAGTTGTCGTGCTGCTTGTTTCCTTTGTCACAGCAGCAAGGGGAAGCGTTGCACGGGCGTGCAACAGGTCAGCAGCCATCAGTGTTAACCAAGCCTAGACTCATGGAATCATAGAACCATAGAATGGCTTGGGTTGGAAGGGACCTCGAAAATCATCCGGTTCCAACCCCTTGCTGTGGGCAGGGCTGCCACTCACCAGCTCAGGCTGCCCGTGGCCCCATCCAACCTGGCCTCAGGCACCTCCAGCTCTCTGAGCAGCAGTGCCAGCATCATGCTAAAACCAAACTGGTGGTTTTGGGACAAACTGCCCCAGGCTGCCGCTGACAAGTGCTTCTGGTCATGTCTGCAGCTAAGTTTGCAGCTGGCAGCTGAACCCTTGGGAGTGTTTACTCCAGAAGAACATTCAGAGTTTTTATTAACTCATTTTTGATGCTTTGACCACAGAGCTGGGCCCATCCCACTGGCTTTTTTTTTTTTTCCCCTCCGCATTGCTTGCATGTTTCCACCTGTTATGCTATGAAAACGATGAGAAAACAGTGTGCTTTCTTATGAGATTTTTCTTTTGAGAAAACATGGGAACGGGTCCCACGCTGCCTCAGCCAGAGGAGAACAGGCAGAGAACACAGCAGAGATTGGAGCCAGCACCCTGGGAACCCACAGAAAAGCATCCAGAGATGCATGGCTGCAAGGTCCCTTGTTGCTGATTTTTCCCTTAGCGCTCACTCTAGGGTTTTACAAGGAAAACAGTGATGCTGAGGATAAGATACCACTAGCTATTGCCATTACTGAATGATCCACCTACATAGAATTATAGAATTGAGTTGGAAGGGACTTTCAAAGTCCAACTTCTCTACATTGACCCAAGCACGAGCAGACGAGCAGTGCCTAGACAAATCCAGGTTATTAAACCACAGGAGGTGATCATTGCTGCTGCATCCCTCATATGGCAGCACCCAGAGCTGAGGCCCTTGATTGCATTGGGTTGCACAAGCACCTTGGAAGACATTTCCTGACAACTGACATGGAGGGAAGACCGCCGGAGCAAAGCCTGCTGTTATTTATAGTGTGACAGCACAAAACAGGTCTGGAGGACTTCATCCCTTGTTGCCCCCAAACAGGGCAGCCAATAGAGCTGCAATGCTTAGGAACATATCTAATGTGTCTGAGTGGGCTTTCGTACAGGTTAAAGGAGGATGATCATCCTGGGGAAAACCCAGGCTGCCAAGCAAAGCCACATGATACCTTAGATGATGCTTCCAACTCTAAAGCACTTGAGCATTCCAAGGTTACGCCAAAGGGTCCACAAAAAGATTGATGTTTAAAAAAGGCCCACGGCATGCATTGGGTTTGTCTACCTCTTTAAAGTTGCATTCTAAATCTGTGATCAGTAGAGCAAATGTATGGATTCCTCCAGGCATTTCTGGGGGAAACCTGGCACGTGGTTCTTGGAGCACATTAAGCTCCATCTGTCTGAAGACAGAACCTTGCTTTGCTAAACCACACCACGGGCTTCTTTCTCAACCTTCTCCCTGAGGCTGCCACTTGCTGTCTGGGAGAAGCCAGACCAGGTGATCTCAGCTCCTTGATGACCCCCACCTGATGCTCATCTTGGCAGTTCTTTGTCCCAAAACCTGTCCCCAGCTGTGTGTTATCCAGCCCTGCAGCCCACCAGATGGTGCTCTCGGTATTGACTACATGCAACTTCTGCAACTTTTGCTTCTGCTGAGAAACTCCAGCACAGGTAGGTGTGGAGACATGCCCCGAAGGGAAACAGATTTTGAGGTTTTCCTACAGCACCAGACAAATCACATCACTTTGTCCCAGGCGTAACACTGTCCTCCTTGGGACAAGTTTCTTGAGCTTCTCTGGAGTGACACTGCGAGGCTGAGAGAGCTCTGTGGGCCTTGGTAGTTCTGCTTGGTAGAGATATCAAACATCTTCTATTAGAGTGTAAATTTTGTAATAGTGAGAGGTTGTGTGCAGCTGTTGAGGATCTCCATCACCAGAGGTGATCAGCTCACACATACGTTCCACCAGTGGTGAGTCAGGGCTGGAATAACAAAATGAGATCCCTTTCTACCTTAGTTTCTCCCTCATTTTCTACTGGAGGAAGGTCCTACTGCTCCCATGCCCTATGCAAACTGAGATGGACAGAGTTATATCAAGTCTGGAGAAGCAGGTTGCAGTAACAGGGCTGATCCTGTTGTTTTCCTTCCTTTGCAAGGCTCTCTTAAACTTCTCCCTAATAAAACTTGGGGCAAAGGGGAGCATTTAATGTGCAGTTAAATAAAAAACACAAAAGTGTGCCACGCTGGCCGACTTCCTAAAAACTAAGTGCAGTGAAATAAAACCTCAGGAACAGGAGCCACGAGAAGAACTGGCAGCTAGCTCTGTGGTCTCTGTTTTTTACCAGTAAGGTATTTTTATCAGGGAGAAGCAGGAAAAGGGAGATCATTAAAGGCAGCCTGTGCTGGTATGCAGGAGCACTCTGGCCATTTACGCCCGTAATGAGTTCTGCTGCCTCTGAGCAGAGCACGGGTAATAACAGGTCATAAAGAGGGTTTACCACCCGAATTGCCAGTCTCTGAAGGTTACTAAAAGCCCGTTCGAATGAGCGTGGTCAAATCAGCCTGACTGTTGTGAAACCTCTGCTTTCTTAATGGCTTAGTGGAAAACTCAGTTTTTCCATTCAATGAAAGGGGAGAAAATTGGGAGTGGAGCAAATAGAGCAAACCCAGTATCCAGTCTGGCTGAAATCTCTTGAATTTATCTGAAATCTGATGCTGCCATTTGTTTGCTTTGTCCCATCAGCTCGCTGACTGCCTATAAAACTTCTCTGCTTTATAGAAAAGATGCACATAATGCATCTTCACATTGGAAAGGGTTGATTGTACCCATTTTACTCTCAAAGAAGCACAGAGAAGGTGGGCAATGCCCTACAAACGAAAAAAAAAGTCTCCATTATCTACACAGGGCCCCTCTGCACAGCCCATACAGCAGGTACAACATCCCCTCTGCCTAATCACAATGCTGTCATCACCCTGCTCTGAGTGCAGGGCTGAGGGTCATATAGGGCCAAAAAGGTTTGGTCAAGTGCTGGCACAGCTGCCCAGAAGGGTGGTAGAGTCACCATCCCTGGTGGTGTTCCAGGTCTGAGGGATGTAAGCAGTGGGCATGGTGGGGTGGGCTGGGCTTGGATTTGGGGACCTGCGAGGTCTTTTCCAACCAGAATGATTCTGTGATTCCATTATTCTTGCTGTGGTTTTGGTGCTGTGTTTCCCAACGGGATACAGAGCACGTCCCCAACAAAGCCAAGGCAGCCCATCTCTGCTTTGCTTCAGAGTGGGGCCCCAGGAACAGAGTGGCTAAGTGCCAGCGATGCAATCACTCAGGTGTGACACGTACAAAGTTCTTTGAAGATGAGTCAATAGCTTTAAGCAACACAAAGTCTGCTCGGAGCGATTTCCAGTCCTGCACATTACTAAGCACATCCAATGGTGCCCAAGCATTTCGACAACCTCTGCAGCATCCCCTGGTGTTGCTGGTGCAGGGCAGGCTGTACTCCTCTACTCATTTTATTCAAGAACTGTTTCACCTTCTGGAGAGCAAAAAAAAATAAATGAATAAATCCATCTACTGCACATGCCTCTTCATTCACAGCCCCAAAGAAAAAAAAAAAAAGAGTTAAAAAATAAAAAAAAGCTGTGTTTCTATTGTTCCTCTTGCCCTTTGATTTCTCTCCATTTTCCTTGCCTTTGTGTGTGTGGGAATGCGCATTTGTGGGAACGTGCAAGAAGTTCTAATGTTTTCTGCAGTTGTTTAGTGGGTCCCCTTCTGAAGCCTTATGGACCACCAAGGGCTGAGAAACAGGGATGGAAGATCCAGAGAGATAGTTTGTGCAAATCCAGTGTCGTCCTTTTGAAGTCCTCAGGGCTTCCACGGCAGCCAGAAGTAATTAGTGAGAGAAAAGGGCTGTAAGAGCCATGCTGGCTTGCAGTCAGCAGTTCCTGCTGACTTTGAATAAAGCAGAGCTGAGCCAACGCTGAGCACTGCTGGAATTACGACACCAAACGTCCAACCTATTTATGGAGTGGCTGCAGAGCTTGGGGATGGCTCTCTGCAGCAGGACTCGCGCTGCTGAGCTCACACCACTTTGCTACCTCTCTGCAAATGCCAAAATATACCCAGCATTCAGGTGCTGTGGCTGAACTTATCACACCTGTGCCACCTTCCCCTTCATTCAGGGGTGGCTGTAGGATCTGCTTCCCTTAACAGAGCGAGTTGAAGGAAGAGCAGCAGCACGGTTACAAGCATAAGGAATAACGAGAATTTCAATTGAGAATTCTCCATCCCCACCTCCTGCCTCAAGAAGGGAACGTTCCCAGTGCCAGATCCTTAACTCTGCACATGGCCTAGGAAGAGGCAAACAGATGGGACAGTCTGTGGGGCAAAAAATCCCTAATGCTAAAACAGTTTTGCAGCAGCGATACACACAAAATCATTTGATTTGCAGGACAATTTTGATTTTGAGAGAGTTGGACAGTAAACCTTCCAAAATTTGAAACCAAGAACTTTACTGCAGCTTTCTCACGTTGGTTAGCTCAGCCTTCCCTTTCATTCTGGCACTCACACTCCACATCACTTTACACGGCATCGCATGGCAAAAAGAAAGCAAGTACTTTCAAATGGGATACAGGCACTATGAAACAACAGCAAGTAATAAAGAAGGAAAATTTACTCACCCTTTCTGATGACCAGTAGCAGCTCAAGAGAAGCACGATCCCTATCCAGAGAAACTCTGCTCCCTCCACTGCTAACCCTTAAATGAGGGTGATTTTTGACACTCAGGTGTATTGCTTGCAGCTGAGCTCCCTGGATTAGCCATGCCTCCTCACCTGGTGCTCAATCATTGGTTCAGGCATGAGCTGGCAATTCCACTGCAGGCGTTGAGCCTGAAACACCAGAAGGTCCAGTTCAAAAAGGTCGCTTCCACATCTCTGACTCTTCACCAGAACTCAGTGGAAAAAAAAAGAAGTTTGACTTTTTGTCCTGATCTGGAAGAAAAGCAAACACACACACACACAAAAGAGTTAGAAAGTCTAATTCCATGTGATGGGAATCTGACTTTCTGGATGGCTTTCACTGCTGTCAAGAAGAAGGGTGGCTGGCTGGGAGAGCTCATAAAGGCTTTGAAAATCATTACAAAAGCCCTAAGCTGGCAACACACCCGCCTATCCTTGCATTGACTGCCAATATCTTGGGATGGGATTTTGGGGGTCCCCTCAAACAATTGAATAGACAGCTCCCATGACGCCTGAGGTCTCCAGTTCTGCTTTTGAAGAGTCCTGTGTTTTTTTCATTCCCCTTCTGATAACCAGCGTGGGCCCCCCGCTCACGGGAAGCATTGCTAATGTGCCACCTCCCACCAAGAGAAGCGAGGAGCAGGGGAAAAAAAGCACACGTAGATGTTAAAAGAAGGAAATGGAATGTCTACAAGCTGCTTGGAGAGTTCACTCCTAACTCAACTATCCCTATTTGCTATTGAAAGTGGTGATTTAGCTATTTATGGCATTGTAAGCAATCACTCCTGGTTTCCACTTGGCGTCAGATGGATTGTTGGCCCATAGGTCTCACGCTGTACTTAAGCAACAGAAATGAAAGAGGGAGTATAGAAGAGAATGGATCTTTTGGGATGGCCACATCTGGTCCCCATGTGTAAGCCCAGCTTGGTGGGAAGCCCACTGACAGAGAAAAGTTGCACGCTGTGGTTCTAGACAAGCTTCCTCATGCAAATGTGTAATATTTATACACACACATAATTTTTTACATCCATGTATATGTATACACAGATGGATATTGAGCAGGTCTGCTCTGACATGTGTCTTTCCCACCTGTGTTTTTTTTTTCCAGCCACCTCTCCCTCAATAGATCGGGCCACCAGTCCTGAGTCCATTTTTTAAGGCCACTTGAATGTTGACACCCTCTTTCTCAGACTGGAAGACTCTCTTCCTCCTCCCCTCTAGCAGGGTTGGTATCTTCTTTCCTTAGCACCCCAGGACCCCAACTGTGACTGAGCAAATTAGGCTGCTGGGATGTTATGGCTAATCAGCAGGACATCTTTAACCTATTACTGGTTTGGACAGCAAGCAAAATAAGCAGGAACAGAACCAACTTGCCTCCTCACTCCAAACATTCATCTCCCAAGGACCCACGCTTGATGCGATATCAAGGAGAGAGTGAGTTTTGGATGCTGCTGGGACTGAGGTATGCTTGGACAGGATAAACCAGAGCACGAAATGAGCACTTGAAGGAGTATTTTCATGGGGTGAGCTCTTAGATTTGCATGTTGCAAGGCCAAAAGGGAGCCACATGTTTCTGAAAATCAGGATTTCTGCAGCAGCACTGGGGAAGCAGGATAAAGCCCTCATTTCCCTCCTGGCTCTCATGATGGAGGTAGGGGTCTGATGCCCCTGCACTCCTTCGAGCCCCCTGTCCTCATGAGACCTTCTTTGTGGACTCACCCAGTGACCCCTGCCTCATGGAGAATTCATTCCCCCACCGTGCAAAGGCACACAGAGAAGCCCATAAACAGGCCCCAAGCTAGCAATTACATTTGGAATTGCACATCAAGCATGGAGCCAAGTGATCCCAAGTGATGGAGCAGTCTCCAGTCCCCAGGGCAGCTGATTCAAGAGCTATTTACGCTCATGCTATCAAAGGCATTTCATCTTGTCCCTCTGTTCTCAGTGTGCTGTGGCTTGGGATGCTTCCACCCTCCCCAAGAAGGGAACCCCCAGTACAGCACGAGAAGATGGCAGAAACATCACCGTGGGCTCACGCTTCCCTGCTGCTACATGAACAGCTGAGTATTTGCCACTGAAGATCATCTCCCACTACGATGATCGTAAGTATGGCCAAGTTTTGAATATTGGCATCAGAAGTTCCCAAGTACTGCAGAAAAAGGAGAAAAATCCCAAGTCTGACTAAAAACAGAACCAAGTCGCTGACCAAAAGGCATGTTGTTCAATGAAAGTATTGCATTTTCTTCTCTTTAGATCACGCCACGACTCTTGCAGCGGGGGGGAATTTCTGTGGCTAAAAATGATAATGAGAACCAGGGTCTGAGCAAATGGCCCCACGCTGTTCTTGGAGGATGGTGTTTGCACATGCTCTGGGTGCAGCAGGCTTCTTTGCCAGTCACTGAGCAGCGGGCTTTGTTCACACACAGGTTGCTTTGCATTCCCAAAGAACACGTGCAACGTTTGCCACTCTCACCTGAATTTGACTCAGTGGAAGGCAGAAGCAATAGGATTATGTATAGGAGCTGAGACATGAAGATTTCCCCTGCTCCATTCTACACAAGCTGCAAACCCTTTCCCCCTAGCAAACTGAGCAAGCCTTAATTACTCCCATAATTCTGCCTTCAAGGGACGAGCCAGCCACATTAATCAGATCATGAGAGCAATTGCTCTGAGCATCATACTCCCAAACACAAAGGCCAGGGTATGATCTGAAAAAATAAACCTAAAACGCTATTTGGATTATATCAACGTGCAGGAAAACAAAGGAAAAATTACCCCAGAGCTTTCTCTCCCTAGCTAGTCTCCAGCTTTGGGTTTTATGTGACTGTCTGCATACAGTCCCATTATTTTCCCTCCATTCTCATCCCCTATCTCTGTGACAAGGACCTTTGCCAAATAGTACTTCCATCTAGGATGTCAGGAAGGCATTCAAAGATACAGTGCATTCAAATAAGGATTGGAAATCATTTCCTTGCAGGAAGGAGCTATCCCTTCTTGCCTTCTCCTCCTTTTGATTATTCTTCTCAGATTAGAGATAGTCAGGAAATTACATGGTGTTGAGAAAAATAAAAGAGAAAATAAAAGAAAGAGAAACGTTAAGGAAAAGGAATTTTTTTTCATTTCCTGCCAAAAAAAATCCCACAACTACTGGGGGGTTTCAGACGCCTGGTTATATTCCTTTTTTCTTTCAGTAATGAAGACGGATGGCTGGCGACAGTGGAACCACCAAAGGCCAACATTTGCCTTGAGTAGATCCCAGCCACAAGTGAGAAGAGGCAACTTGGCCCCGTGTATTTATGACTGGGGGAAAGAGAGCTTTCCAAAGAATGGAGATGGAACGTAGCTGAGTTATCTGCTTCTAATATTAGATCAACCTCAGGATTGGAATGAGGTGGTAAAAGTATGTTCATCACAATGATTTATGCTTAGCTTTTGTAAGAGGATATTATATGACAGGCTATACCACGCTTAGTTTAACTCCACCTGAATGGTCTTTGCATTGTCCATTTCTTGCAGTTTATATATATTTACAGATGCCTATGATATTGGTATCAGTATGGAAATAGCCAATACAGCCTTAAGTACACCTATATAGGTGTATATATGTACACATATACATACATGAGGGCTTTTTTGTACCAAAGTGGAGTAAAATCAAGTCAACCGCCTGCTTTTGCAGACCAGCCTTCCATCACCGCCTATAATACTCTGCAGCCATCTAAATCTGCCCATAGATGCCACCCAGATCCTCTTCTCCCAACTTTCTGATCAACTTTCCTAGCTTCATCTCTTGCAGCTGTACTCCACTTGAAAAATACAGAGCCCAAAGCTTTGACATTGCTTCTGCTTTGTGCTTTTGCGCTACAAACCCCTCGGTCCCATGGAAGAGCAGTGCCCTATCACACAGCATTGATGTGCTTATCCAAAGCCCATGAATGAGTAATCCCACCCGTTGTGACTTTGGTAATGGGTCCTTGGCATTTTTCTGTAGAAGAAACAATAAGAGCTGCGTGGTCATTGTGATATTAACACCCATCTGAAGGGTGGTCGGAGTTGATATGGGGATGCAGCTGCATTGAGGGAGCTGGCTGAGGGCTCCAGTAGGACATTTCACTGTAGTTTGTATGTGGGGAAGGGCAACAACACAGAGACTACAGGGAGAGTCTTTTTTACCAGGCCAGCAAGTGCCTGCAATACCAGGAGAAGGAGGAGTAAGAGGGACAGGTTTCACACTAGGGCTGCAAAAAAGCTCTTAAATCCTCACTATCCTTTTTTTGCGGGGCGAGATTTCCCCCACTCACTTCATTTTCTCACTGCTTCCAAGAAAGGGCTGTAAGATTGTCATGGGCTTGGTAAGGCCACAAGATGTTGTGATGGGCTGTGACGGGGCTGCTGTCTCCAGTGATCCTGATGCTAACCAGGCTCGGTGGACACAAGCTCTCAGTAGTCTATAAATCATTCCATTGGCATGATGTTGTGTAGCTCAGCATGGCATAACATGACATCTCTATCCCACCTCCCCTCCTCAACCCACTGTTTCCAAACCTACTGCCCCATTCCACTGCTCCACCAACATCTCTTAAGGAGCTCCTGTGGACTCACATTAAATATCTCTCCATGGGGAGTACTCATTAGTCAGCTGCCGTGATACAGATCTTAGAGCAACAACCAATAAAGCTTCAGCATGCAGGCATCTGGAACAAGCCGCAGAAAACCCATCTCTCATCCCTAATCTAAGTAGCTTCAGACTGGGGATGCTGCCGACACAAGGCATCGGTTTGTTTTCTTTTCTTATGGCAGAAGATCAAAACAAAGCCGAGAGCGTGGCAGAGTCCTCAAGGTCAGCAGGGGAATAGGCAGGGATCAAAGCAGCATCATTAGCAGAGTAAAGCAGCACACGCCAGCTTGTGCATCCCAAATAGAGCAACTCAACCTGGTTAGCCCCTCTGCCTCCATGGAGAGGAGCCCCAAGCTGCTCTTCTCCTGGCTATCATGCCTAGTAATCACCACTGCCAGAGCTGATACTGCAGATTGGGTTGGAGCTTCAGCTTGGAGGACATTGCATTAACTCGCCTGCTCATTTGCATAAAGCATATATCTACTTAAAAGCTGTAAGCTGGACATTCCTGCCATGGAAGCAGTGAAAAGGATGACAGGGCCTCTGACATTGTCATAGAATCATAGTATCACCAAGGTTGGAAAAGACATCTAAGATCATCCAGTCCAACCGTTTACCTTTCATCAACAGTTCTCACTGAACTGTGTCCCTCGGTACAACATCTAAAGGTCATGTTGGGGTGCAGAGAAAAGGCTGACCAAAGATCCCTGTTTTCCCACTGCTGGGACCCTTAGGACACCTTAATGGTGCCCATCGCAGCCCCATGGCTGGACATTCAGGGAGGGGACATGGAGGGGACTTCAGTTTCACAAACAGAATGGGCTTGGCAACCCTTCAGAAGGAATAAGTGCTATTTAGACTGACATTTTTCCCCCCTGAAAACTGAAAAACACCAAGTTAATAAAAGAGAGCTGAACTGCCATGCTTCTCTTGGGGTTGCCTCATCCCTCTAAGCCTCCCACTCTGCAGCAAAATAGAAATCTGCACTCCTGCTCACACTGGAGCCTTCAGGCTTTCCTGCAGCACAATAGTATAAACCAAACAGACTAAAGTTCTGGACAGAGGAGAGAATAAATTGGATCCCTCCAAAGCTAAATACTGCCTTGTGGAAACTTGCAGGGCTGTAAGCCTCTTGCAGTTCATCACTCTAGAGCAAATAAGCTAGTGGTCTCCATCCCACAGTGGGCAAGCATCCAACATTCAGACGCTCCATCCCTGCACGATGGTGGTCATAGGGCATCCTCGCAGCGTCTGCTGGATGGGGAGAGCATCCAGACACAAGGCATGTACACAAGCCCTTGCTCATCCCCAGAGAAGAACAGAGAAGACCAGTCCTGTTTCAGTGGCGCACAGCAGCCCACAGCATGATGAAGATGGTGCCCTGGGTTCCTGCCAGCCATCCTTCTGACAAAATACCAGTGTTCATGTTTTTGTTTTTGAACAGAGCTTCTCAGAAGAGGACGTGTTAAAAATTCAGGACCAAGTTGATGCTGCATCCATTTGGACTTCATCCTTGGATGAGATGTGCCACACAATGAGTCACGGTTCAGCACATCAGGCAAGGCACCAACCTCTAGGCTGGTGCTGCCAACACTACTTGGCGCAAGCTGTAGATGGCTGCTAAAACCACTACATCCACCCAAGAGCAGCCACTGAATGGCTGGAGCCATTTTTCCAAACTGTCACAAATGTATTTCTCAGTGCATGGGGATTTCCGTAACTTTTCACGCATATGGAGATTTTATTTTTCCCTTCTTTTTCAATTACATGTTTCATTAACCGCCCGCACCTCCTGATTTGCTGCTGACTAGCTGAGGCTTTCAGACTCGAGAAATGAAGAAGGAAATAAAGCAATGATCTATTACCATTTACAGCTGCCACGGGATGCCACAAAACTTAATCAGCTGTTTGTAAAATGCATTCAGTAGCAAGGGGAAGAAAAAGCTGGAAAAAGCAGCAATCCCTTGCTGAAGATAATTTCCACCCAATCTCCCCGTCGATTCTCTTTCAAAGAAATGCCTAGGGAAGTGGAAGTCCTTACAGTGTGCTTTGCTGATGACAGATTACTGAGGAAGCATGGTCTGCGATGGGCTTTCAGCTGGCTGCAGAAGTCCTCCCTGGTCAGCTCTGCAAAGTGCAAGTGGGTTTAGTCAGTACTCCTGTTTTCTCCAAATTTCAGTTAGAGTTTGCCTCTGTAAAACAGGCTGGAGAAAGCGATGCCCGTAGAGGTGTTTCCCAGTGAAGAGCAAACACCTCCACGTCCAGCCCTAACCCCCTGGGTCAGCATGCTCATCACCATGGCTCCTCCCATGGGGTTGTGGGGACAAAACCATCGGACCCTCTTCTGACAAGACAAATCCAATAAAACTGCTGACCTGAAGCAAATCCTGCTGGGACTGACAGCTCCACACAGCTTTTTCTCAAAAGGAAAGACAGCAGGCAGATAGATGTGGGCCTCTGATAGATAGGTGTGGGCCCCTTCCAGCTCTTCCCCATTGAACTGTGCAAGCAGCAAGCACCGCTGCCACAGCAGCTTTAGAGGAATTTGGCTGGTCCCACACTTGCACGTTCCTCCTCATAATACCTCTCCACTCCCCAAGTCAGCCCACGTTAATTGTATACAACATCTTAAAGACCACCCAGTTTGCGCTGTAAAGCATTCAGTGATGGATAAAAATAACAATTGCATTGAGAGAGGCCAAGTTCCATGCCAAAAAGATTAGCAGTGGGAAAATTCCTCCTTTTGGGAGCTTTGCAGCCAAGGCCCAGCCCTTAGGGTTCATGACCGGCAGCAGGCCTCACGTACATTTAACAGCTATTGGTAAAATCTGGGAAGAAGCCTAATTCTGGTGACTTCCACTAAATCTTGCCTTTGTCCTGATTCATAAAAGAGAGTCATCAGATCACTCACCCTGGCGGGACGATAGGCAGCCAGCACTGAGTTTCATTTATCAGGGACGTTATGGGTGGTGGTACAGGAGGGATGTACAAACTGCAGAAACAGCTTTGTCTTCTACTCGCTAAAAAAGAAAGGAAACAAAAGAAAACAAAGCAGAAAACGTTGAGGATGTTAGAGAAGAAGGAAGGATCACCTGATTTGTTTGTCAAATAGACTTCCACTGGACATTTCCAAGGAAAGGACAGATGGATGCTTCAATATGTCAATGAATACCACACTGTGTAATGAAGAGTCACAGAAAGGGCAGGAGCCTAACTATGAACTGCAGAGAAAAATGTTCCTCTGAGGCAAAGGGAAAACACTGACCAACCTCAAGTTTTTCTAGATCTGCAAAAAAGCAAGGAAGGAACAAGTAGGCCTGAGATGTTTGCTAGACACAAGAGATTCAGCCCATCACTGTGCTGATAGATCTTGCTCTACTATGCAGAAAAGCTACCATGGTCCACTGCCTAAAATGGTGAATTAGAAACCTCTGCTTACTTGTAAATTTTAGAAATCTTTTTAAAATGTTTTTCTTCTTCAGGAATTCCTGAGCCCAGTCTCTTCTGAGAAGATCTATTTGAAATAGTTGTACTGATGTTTGCAGTTTGAATGACCCTTTTAGTACAGAAGTGAAAGATGTGCATTTGTGAAACCAGCAAGAATTAACGATGTATGAATCAGCTCGGTTACTAAAACAGTAAATCAGTAAAGTCCCAAAAGCTTCTAGTCAGCATAGCCCCATTCACAAGCAGTAGGGTCTTGCAGAACTGCTGGGTGAGGAAGTCACCATATAGTCTCCATGCATGCACGAACTATTTATGGCTTTTTGTCTGTTTTCTCCCTTTCCCCATCTCCAGCCAGCTTGTAACCACTGCTAAGATGAAGCCTGTCTATAAACTACCAACCAGGATACAGACTGACCAGACACTGTGTTTAACAGGCAGCACTGGCAGCTTGGACACCTAATGAGGGAATGGGAACTGGAAGAGCACATAACAGTAATATTTAAAGACCAAAATCGTTTATCTGAACCTCGCTCTGCCAGGATCCTGGTGAATATTCTTCCAAGCCAGTTAAGAATAGCATGGGATAACAACTGCAAACAGACAGCCATGATGAAAAAAGGGTGCTAAAAACCTTCAGAATTAATTAACAAGTTCCAGCCCTTCAAGGCTTTTTTTCTAAGAGCCTTCAAGCACCATTCGCCTGGTTTTGATTGAATTATTTAACCACAGAGCCTGTTAGTCCCTAGCAAACACCCCCAAATAAATACGGCTGCTTCTTTGAGCTTGACATCATTTGGATCCTGCATATGGGATTTGGTGATGGTGCCACCCAGCCAGATGTTTCCAGTGCTTTCTGAGAGAAATGCACCTCTTCTTTTATTGGACACCATGGCAAGAGAGCCCACGTGGAATGTAAACTCTGTGTGCAGAGATATATGTTTTCTCTCACTGTTTATAAACACACAGAGCCCAGTTCTTCCTCCACTGGGGTTATATGAACCCAGAATTTATTAACCTTGGAGAACGCGTTCCTGATTTACACTGAAGTAAGAGAGCAAATTGTTTGCAGGAGAAAAAATAGATCAGCAAGCAATCGCTGCTTCTACATACAGATCTGAATACACATGCAGCACAGTATTCAGATCAGCTGCAACAAACAAACTCTCCTCAAAGAACATAACAGCAAACCCGAGACTCCAATGGGAAGATAGGGAAAGGTTGCCTCATCCTTACCAGTGGGAAGGGAGATTGCTCAGTGAAAAATGCCCTCGGTGACATCTCATTTTGGCATCTGCCTTGACATCCCTGGGCCAGTCCTTACATTTTCTTTCCCAAAAGAGCAGAGTCAGGCTTTTACAGACTATACAGCCATAGATCCACCAAGGTGGTGCCAGCTTCTCACCCAGCTTCTTGCTCCTCTGCGGGTCAGAGTTCTTTCTCTTCCACTTCTCCTGCCATGACACTTGGCCTTGTGCTGCTCCATCCCTTTTGCTGCCCTGTAGAAACACAGGCCAGCCATAAGAGACAATAAAGTCAGGCTGGTGTGTAGAGCCTATTTTCTCACACCCAAATGCCATCCCAGCCTTCGATCCCTGCTAAATCATAGAATGGCTTAGGTTGGAAGAGACCTCAAAGATCATTTCGTTCCAACATCCCTGCCATGGACAGGGTTTCCAACCATTAGATCAAGCACTAGATCTGATTGCTCAGGGCCCTGAACACCTCCAGGGATGGGGCACTCACAGCTCCTTGGGCATTAGGGCCAGGGCTTCACCACCCTCTCGTATTTTAACATCAAATATTTGTGATACTTGCAAGGCTAAGCTCTAATAGAGATGCGTTTTCTCACCCCAGCACTGCTGTTATACTTGAACCAACCATACGCTCACACAAGAGCAAAGCACTGTATGTATACATCTGCTTACCCACACATATATTTATAGATGTACACATACACATCAGGAGGGGACACATAAATATCTATAGTACACAAATGAGCAGTTTCAGGAAGCTAAAAGACACAAGGGAGGATTTTGTTTAGAAAGCAGTTTCCCCCTTCCTCCCTGCCAGGCGAGATCTCTAACATCTGCTCCTCCAGCCAAGCCAAAGGGGAGGTGAGTGCCAAACAGAAGCCACACAGAGAGGACACGCTTTGATGGGATGATCCCTTGACTTCAGATGGTTGAAGAACGTCACCAATCTATCTGGAACAGGCTCACTGCCAAGAGAGGAAAATGGATGTGACCAAGTGACCAAGATGGGATGATTCAACCAGGGGCATGTCTCAGCAACTGGAGTAACCCAGCATCCCAGTGTGCAGCATCTGGTGCTGCATGGCAGGGAAAAGGGATGGCCAGCAGCCAGAGGAAGAGAGATTAGATTAATGGAGGTGGGTACGCGTTACACCCTGCAAAGCACAGAGCTATTGGAGTTTGACTTCCAGCCCAACCACTCCCTTGGGAGATTAGATCCTCATGACTGCAGGAAAAGATTGATATCAAACATCTTCCCCTGCTCTGGCATATTCCTTTGGGAAGGCAGTGCCAAGCCACATGGAAGCACACCCTTCCTCCACATCAAGCCATGCGTGACAGCCCTCAGCACTGCAACGACTGCTCAGAAACCCCTGCTGGAGCTGAGCAGCAATCTGAACTGTGAATCATACATACTTAACAAATTCCTATTGTAAAAAGTCTAGCAGTTGTACTTACATTGGGCTTCTGCAGAATGAGAAACATGTGCCATTTTCATAGGAATCAATTCCCACAAGGCCTCCTTCTTCTTTCCATTACCCCAAAGAAGGGAGTTTGACCAAGCATGATACTTGGAGCTTTCTGTTTCTGTTCCAGACTGCTTGGAGGCAGAGGTGTAGGGATAAACACAACATCTGTATTTATGGCACCTCTCTGTAGCTGACTCTACTGATCCTAGCCCGAGACCCACCTTCCTTTCAACCCAATAGCATCATCACAACAAACTCACGTTGGCTGGCCTGTTAAGAGGTACAGACCAGAAGATTATTTAAACAACATGGTAGCTTCTGTCACAACCATTTTGCCTGTAAGACTGTTTTTTCTCTACCACTTCTATAGATTTCCACACAAGAGCCCAAAGGAGAGAGAAATTACACTGGGATGTGTCCCAAGACTTTGCAATAAAGTATATACACCAGAAACAGGGTGGATGCTGCAGTCTAGAGAGCTTTTTGTTTGTTTGTTTGCTGTATATTTGCTCTCATAAACTAGCCAGCCTAAAATGAAGTATCTGGGGTGAGCCATGCTCAGGGGCACTGCAAAACACCCCACAGAGGTGGTGAGAGCATACCTGCTGTGAAAGCTGAAAGGTTCTGAAGGAGAATTTCTCCAGCTTAAAAAGCATAAAATCAAAATCTTTCCCCAGATGATTTCCACTTTGTTTAAGGGGGAAGGTCATCTTGAAAAAAAGTTAAGTATTTCTGTTGGAAAACTTGAATAGCCAAGCCATGGGAGTCTGTTAAACTCACTTCCTGCAGCCATCAGGAAAAGGTGAAACTGAAATACTCCATCCAGGAAAGCCCCTTGGGAAAAGAAAACCTATGTGTTCACTGCTGATCTTCCTCCCCTTTCTTGGAGAGGAGAGGGCCCTCTACATACACTCTCATCCAAAAGGGAAGCAGAGTCCTTTCTCTAACCAGCTCCACTTGACACCAGTTTGCACACCCACACGCAAAGCCCTTTCACTGCCAACACATTACATCCATTCAACCCTCATTCTGTGCCATGTGAAGAGCTCTTCCTCTGCATCCAGCCATCCAACAAAGACTGCACATGCAGCGAGACAATTTTTCCCAGTTTGATTGGAGTGGCACCCCATTCAAACCCTCTGACAACCAGCAGAGAGGAAAAGCAATCCAGAACAGCCTGATGATTAGTTCCTTCCACGCTTAGGAAAAGCCCTTAGGAGGTTCAGCAGAGAGCTATAGACCTAGCCACCAGAGACATTCCCCATGCTTTGAGCATCATATGCAAGATTTTGGGGTGTTGTTCCATGGGATGAAAGAAACATCACCATCTATATGCATGGTAGTTCAACAATGAATCTGTTTCTAGATGGGCTGAAGGTGGAGTTGGATGCATTCCTGTTCCGATCAAAGTTCAGCTTGTAACTTCAAAAGGCTTTTCATTAAATCCAGCCACACAAGGTGGAGGGGTGTGGGTTTCACTGGAAGGGATTTGGGATGGCCAGGAGAGGTGTGGCTGAGCAGCTCAGCCTTCCTTGTCTCTCAGCACTGGGGGAAGAACCTGTGTTTTTGTGAAACTGAGCACTGCTTGGCTGCTATTGACATAAATCTGCCTTTAAGCTGCATGTTGTGAAGAATACCCCAAAGCTCAACATGCTGGTCCAGGTGCTTATGGCTGCAAGCCCAAGGCAGAGAGGCCTCACATTGCCTAATGCCAAAAAACAGGAATAGAAGAGCAAGAATCACAGTGGAAAGGAGGCTGAGTGAGAGAAATGACCAGGGACAGATGTGGGCTTAGAAGGGCTTGCCCCAAGCAGGCTCCTGTGTGGCTGTGGCATCACAGGAGGCCATTTGGGGTGGCCCTCTCTCTGGGCAGAGGGACACACTCTGTGGGTCCTACTCTGGGTCTGCTCCCATTGGAAGCAGGCAGGAATTCTGCCAACAATGTGAGTAGCAACAGGTTCCAGAGATGGGAGCTGTTTTAACTCAAGCACCCAGCAGAAAAGCATTTGGTGTTTTTGTTGGATGCCTCTTTGCCAGGTTAGTGAGTTAAATCAGAGTCCAAGAAGCGCTGAAGCCAGCATTAGATAAACAGAGGGAGAGCAGGATAGAGCAAGGCTGATAAAAAGGGGAAATCTCCACTTTGTTAAAGCAGAGATTGCCTCCAGCTGCCTCCCAGCCCCAAGTACTGGGAACTTGGAAGGAGCAGTGGAGAGGGAAGCCACACATGAGTTGAGATGAAAATCGGATGTTATCTACAATATTTCTGTGTGTTGTAGGGTACATTTCCATGCAGACCATCCAGCAAGGATGACATGAATTGTTCGAACCACTGGCAAAAGTGAAAACAGACAAAATTCTCAGTGTTTTGCCGTGGAAGTGTTGGGAGATTGGAGAACACATGTGCAGTTGATCATCCCAGTGCAGAGTGGCAAGAAACAGCTAGCTGCTACCGAAATCACCAGCCAGTAAAACATAGATTCAAGGAATAGCTTGGGTTGGAAGTGACCTCAAAGATCATCCAGTTCCAAGTCCTGCTGTGGGCAGGACTGCCAACCTCTAGACCAAGCAGGAGATCAGGCCCCATCCAAGCCAGCCCTCAACACCTCCAGGGATGGAGCATTACACTACTCTGTGCTTATTAAGGTGATCAGGATCAAATGAGGTATTTCCAAGACCGTAACTTGAAGAGATTTGAAGTGCCACATAAGAAAGAACATCATTGCTGGGGAAACTGAGGCATAGGAAGCAACTACGACTTGCTGCTGCTCATCCTGCTGCCTGTGGCAGAGAATCCATCTCTCCAGAGCAATTCAGCCTAATCTGAGACCCACAGGCCCAGCTGTGGGTCCATCTCCTACAGTTTTCTACAGTGGCAGCCCATGGGAGAGCTCCAAAAGGGCTGCTGGAGATTGAGCCATGAGAATTTCTCTTTGCCATAATCTTCCGCAGGGAGGATTTGCTGGATTTTGCAATCTCTGCAAAGCTCAGAGAGGCTCAAAGCTTACTTTACACTTGTAAGCTACAAGAGATATGATTAAGAGGAGGAAAAAGTAGTACTTAGAGAGCTTCTTCTTACCCTTTGACATAGGAGATGTGACATAGCTATTTCAGCTCCCAAAATCCAACTGCATCCAGGAGAAAGGTGAAAAGCTAAACATCTCCTCCCTTGGTAAGAAGATACACAGCTTGGGAATTCCTGTTTATAAAACTGCAATCAGCGCAAGTGCAAATTAGGCAGAATCAGTCAAGTGTAGGAAATTGCTATCAGAATACCTGATATCAGAAATAGCAATTTAAAACCTCTCTGGTTGCTGAGCTTTCATAAAGTCTTCCCAAGACCGCATTTCTATGCTGCATGTCACCACGGAAGACACCCAAGATGCAGTGAATTCCTCCCTCCCCCTTCCCCCCAGTTAATTTGAATTATGCCACAAAACAGATGTGCTCTCTGGTGCACAGAGAACCTTCTTCTTCTTCAATTTCATGTCGCATCAGCGCTTATTATTCCCTCTCTTTGTCTGAAGTGACATAACGAGTCGTGACACCCTCGTATATCATCAAGAGACACGGTAGCAACTACACTCAAGTTGGGAAGAGTAGTTTTATATATATATGTGTGTCTATATGTCTACTGTCTTGATGGGAAAAGGTGTGTGTGTGGTAGGAGAGATTCCTCCTTCTGCATAGCAAGGCTGACGCAAGGCATCAGCACCAATTAAGACCTCACAACGGAGCAGCGTGCAGGACTGAGGGTGAAATTAACTGGCGAATCGTATGGAATTTCACCCTCTGGGCTCAGTTCCCAACTTGTGGGAAACAATGCAGATTTGATCTGAAGCTTGGAAAGGAGGAAGAAATCATTAGAAACGCCCAGCCTAGCCTCTTGTGTTAGAGCAGGTTGTGCTTTTCACCCAGAAATTCCTACATCGAGTCCAACAACAAAAGGCTTGAGAGGAAACCACTGCCGTATGACAGACAGAAACTTAGCAAAAGCTGACAAAAAAGGCACAAGATCCTTTGGACATCTATGCTGATGGTCTATACTCTCTGATCTTTACAAAACATTAACCTAATACCCATTTTCTGCCTTCAGACCCTGTCACTGATTGGCTCTTTTTCCACTGGGTTGCAGACATCGTTAGACACGTTGGGGATGCACAACCATGACCACAAGAAATATGTCCTTCAGCACGACTAAATGCTGTTCTCCCAGCATTCAGTTCAACCAGTTCCCCCCTATAAGAGCCCCTGGAGCCTGCCCAGAAGCCCATCTCTCTCCATTGCTGCTGTTACCCCAACTTGAACTTACCCCAAGCATACAGCAGTTCATCTGTACACGAACACCGCAGCGATGCATAGGGATATGGCCATGGCTCCCATCTCCTTTAGGAAAGTTGCCACACAATGAGCTTAGTGCTGAGCTGTAAGGTAAATTTTCCAGATGTGAGCCATTCTCTGCATCAAACACAGGGGGAAAAGTCTGATTTTACAATGCTTCTGGCAAGGGAATGCAGAGAATGTGTTGTAAACACTCCCGCCGTCAAATAGGTGGTAAATTGAGCCATGCATGTTTGAAATACTGTACTTTGAAGAACCAGTGGGAACAATTTGGAGTTTTGAGCTCATTCATTCAAATTGTCTTTTCTATCCCTTTTTTTTTTTTTTAAATTTAAGATGATGTGGAAATTTTTCTCTCCTTTGCAGTGCCTCCCCTGGAGGTGCTCAAGAAATGTTTAGATGCTGTACAGAGGAACTGGGTTAGTGGGAAATATTGGTGGTAGGTGAAGGGTTGGACTGGGTGATCTTGGAGGGCTCTTCCAACCTTGGTGATTCTATGCTGCTCACTCCTAGGAAGGCAAGGAGAACTAGCTGGCAAGAAGCAATCTGCAGTGACATTTTGCCATCGCCACTCTCCATTGCTGCACTGGCAGCCTGCTGACAAGCAAAAGAGAACTGAAATGCAGCACCAGAGGCCATTTCTGAGTCCTTGGCACCACTGGAATAAGCCTCTTGGGTCATGTCATTTGTTAGGCACACAGTCTGAGTTAGGTTTTGAAACCAAGGACCCCCACTGCCTCTAGGAGATCACAGCCCTGCGGTGCCAAGGGTCTGGCCCCTTCTGTCAGATGGACAGGGGTGTTTTCCCACCTTCAAAAGATTTCTATCCATAACCAAGCAAACAAACAAACAAACTCACCAGCAACCTTTCATTCCTCTAGAGAAAATATTTTAAGTCTCTCAGATAAAAGAGCCAAGCCTGACAAGGCATTTCATGTGCTTCTCATGAATTTTTGCAGGAGGTGGTTTCTGGACTGACTTAAGGAATGCACTTAGCATGCTGTTTCCCATATATAAAACCCTGAATTAGCATTTCTCCCTACGATTCTCAGTGTGATTCTGCTATGCACAGAGTATCACAAGATAAGTAAAACCCCATAAAAAGTCTCTCATAAAACCGTCCAGCGCTTGGTTTTGTTTTGTTGATCCCCTGACTTCATCGATTGTTCCGTCTGCTGATAGGAACAAAGTCTCCTCCACGATGCTTTTATGCAGGCAGTGCTTATCAAGGATGTCTGAGCATGCACACACATCAGGGCTCTGTCTCCCTGCATCTGATGCCTCAGAGGCCTTGTGCAACCAAAACCAGCCACATCTCCATGGCTTTCCAAGACAGAAGCAGGACAGGTGACTGTAAGAGCAGATGGGTCATTCAGTTCTCTCTTGAACAGTATCTGGAGATGCTCTCTTTGCTGGATGTCAGGGGATCCCTTCTGACCCTACAGCAAGCAGCTAGAGCACGGGCAAGGCAGCATTAACAAGAGAAACATAAGCATTTTGTGCTTTTATGGGAGGCCCAAGAAGGTCTGGGAGTTGATCGTCAGGGCCGATCCAATTATTCCTTAAAAGCACTCTAATGTGAAGCTGGCTCGGTTCCCTTCGGTACCTGGCGTCTAATTTATGGGGTAATGTTTCTTTAAGACTGGCATTAAAGAGCAGAAGTAACAATCTTGGGTTAAGAAGGTTAGGCATTATGTCCAGATTAGTATTATCAGATGACCCGAAGCAGGGGTTATATTAAAAAAAAAAAAAGCCTTAATTAAAAAATACAGGTCAGAACCAGTTTAAGCTCCAAACCTCCGGTTATGCTCACTAATTAGAAGGCTTGGACGCATGCCTCAGAGTGATGGATGAGCTCTATCTGCCTCGTGGCATCACACGAAGAGATGGGACGTGGCTCCCCAGGCGCAGGTCCTGGGCTTCATTTAAATCCAACTTTCTTTTTTCTCTGCAAGCAGAAATACCTGAATTGCATGAGCGGAGCGATTCCAAGCACGAAACACGTGTGAAACCCCAGTTCCAGCACAACTTCTCATGACTTTCAATCAGACTAAAGGAGATCATGGAATCATATAATGGTTTGGGTTCGAAGAGATCTTAAAACCCTCCCAGTTCCAACCCTCTGCCATGGGCTGGGTGCCCCTCACCAGATCAGGCTGTCCAGGGCCCATTCAACCTGGTCTTGAGAGCCTCCAGATGGGGCACCCACACTTCTCCAGGCCAGCTGAGATACCAAAAAACCAGATCATGCATTCCATAAGACTGTTTGGAAAAAAAAAATGTATCCACACATAAACCTACTCTTTTTTTTTTTTTTTCCACCACATCCAATTTCATCCCAGTGAAAATTTAAATAATTTGCATGTTTCATTTGTGTGCCTGCTCCCTTGCATGAAGACTGAGTCATGGAGTCGCCAAGGTTAGAGAAGCTAAGATCCACTCAGTGCAACTGTGTACCTACCACCAATATTTCCCATTAAACCATGTCCCTCAGTACAACATCTAAATGTTTCCTGAACACCTTTAGGGACGGTGACTCCACCATCTCTCTCCTGGGCAGCCCATAGAGGTTCTGCTTGGTTCTGCTTTGCCTTTGGAAAAGCAAATTGGTAATCTGACAGAGAAAACAGCATAGGGGAAAACAGTCTTGTAATTCAGAGAAAAGCACTGTTCCTTAGTTTGATAGGTTTTTCAGGACAGTGGGAAAGGGAACAGTCACAGAAATAGGTAACTGGTATTAGCTCTGTCTTTTTCCCTTCAAGGACATTATCACAGAATCACAGAATGGCCAGGGATGGAAGAGACCTCAAGGATCACGAATATCCAAGCCCTCTGCCACATGCAGGGCCACCAACCTCCACATTTAATACCAGACCAGGCTGCCCAGGGCCCCATCCAACCTGGCCTTGAACACCTCCAGGGATGGAGCATCCACAGCCTCTCCGGGCAGCCTGTTCCAGCACCTCACCACTCTCTCTGTAAAGAATTTCCCCCTGACATCCAATTGCTGTCCTTTCCTTTTATTTAAACACTGAACAAACAGCTGCCAAAGCCCACATGGTGAGGCCTCTCATTCCCTTCTGAACTGGTGTGAGGAATAGGTTAGGTGGTCTCCCACCTAATCCCACCACCTTGCCAATCCAAGCAGAAGAGGAACAGCAGCCCACCCCTGTTAGGTACAGCCCTGGGGGGCACCAGGCGACCAAACCCAAACCCATCGTGCCCATCACCCTCACTGGTACAGATTGCCCAGAGGGTGGGAGGTGCTCAAAGCCAGGTTGGATGGGGCAATGGGCAACCAGCAACCTGACCTGATGCAGGCAACTAGCCCATAGCAGGCACTGGAACTAGATGATCTATAAGGTCCCTTCCAACCCAAGCCATTCTGCGATTCTGTGAACGCAAGGAACAATTTGACTAACAGCTCCTGCGTCCAACAGCGGTGGCAGAAACAAACCCCCCACCGAGATGAACGGCGCAGCACCACGAGATCCAGAGGGCAAAGGACATCACACGGGCAGCAATTTGCACAGCCCTGTGCACGGCACTGAGCACTGATCAGAGCCACGCGGTCTCAGGCCTGACAGATATTATATTTCCCTGTAATCCTCGCTCCTTTGTAACGGCAACGCGCTCCAGCCCATGCCTGGGGAGCTCTGTGATGCGTGACGGAGGGGGAATGCTGCTTGGTGGGAGCTGCTGACAGCTGAGTACTCCACGACCGGGCGAGCTAGCACAGTTGTTGGCTCCTGGAAAACACAGGGAGAGAAACAAAGAGGCACGGCCCGTCTTGGGAGCGACATCGGGTGCTGAAGCCTTCCCTGCTGCAGAGCAGGCAGAGGCTCTCCTCCAACTGAGATTTATGACGAGAGAGCACGTCTCTCCTAGGAAGCCTGCGGGGTTTCTGGTTCTCATCTCTTCCTCCCTGCAGCTGCCACATCGCTCAGCTCCGCAAACGGCATAAATCAGCGGGAGCGGCGAGGAGATGAAAGCGTAAATAGGCCGTCAGAGCAGTTACTGACACTACAGGGCAAATTCTGCCCTGACAGACACTCTGCAATCCTCCATTCATTGCGAGGGATGTGGGATGGGCATCTGTCAAGGGGAAAGCCATCCGGATGTGGGTTCCATCCACAGCGGGTCAAACCGACGGGTGCCTGCAGGTCGGGTCCTTAGGCTGGAGGATGCTTCACTGCTTTGCTCCAGCTGAGGTTTTTGGTTTTAATAGTTTCCCAGTACTTTATCACCATAAATCCAGTGCCCTCCCATCGATCTCAGGGATTTGTGTGCCAGCAGAACCTGAGCAGGGCAGTGGAGGCTGCAGGAGGATGGAGCACAGAGAGCCTCATCCGATGGAGGATGGGGAAAGCCAAGCGAGGAGCACGGAGCCCTTTCATTCAGAACTCAGCTTTGATACCTGCGCTTAGATATCTGGAGTATCTTACAGTCTTCTGTTCTTGACTTGTGGGTGAGAAGCCCGTCTTTTTATGTGTGAGGAGGAAAAAAGTCTTTCTAAGGCACCTCTTCAAAAGCTGTGAACTCAAAGGAAAGGACCCACACGTACTCCAGGATCTTAAAGACTGCTCCTGACCGAAGGGTGGGGAGACTGGGAGGGTCCCCAAGGGGAAGCAGCTCCCAGGGCTTTGCAGTTTGGCTTCAGCTCACTGCAAACTCCAGTGAAAATAAAAAATCAGTCGTAACAGAACTGATTAGAAATAACCGTGAATATCCATATTTTCTTCTGGAGGGAAGAATAAACTCAGGGATGTTTGCAAAGCCTGAAGTTATCGCCAGACTCATTTGACCGAAGGGAGAAATTTCTAGAGGCTTCTTAAGCATTGGTTAACATTAAGTAATTTTGAAGGGTTTCCATCGAGACCAAATGTGACACTGGCAACAAACAGAGCCACTCTCAGACCTCTCTGCCTCTAACCCCAAAACCCAGTGATTTTATGAGCCTCACTAGAGCATTTGCTGACAACACCAGCACTGGGATACTTGCCCCATGCCAGCTTTCCCCCAACACTGAGCACCTCCAGATTTCCCCTCTCTCCTATCTTGCTTCTTTTCACATCACACTTAAGCTTTCCTGGGACTCTTTCTCCACTGTAACACAGACAGGAGGAATGTGGCACACCAGGTTTGTTTGGATAACGTGAGAAGGGGGGGATTAGGGTCAGCTTTCTAATGGAAAACTGGCACCACCATTAGCTCTTAGATTGGCACGAGGTTCTGTAAATAAAACTGTACAAGAGAGGGAAACCTTGAATTCCCCAGACAGAGTGAATTACCCATAGTCTACAAGTCATTAGGCAGGATGCCAAGCTATAGCTAACATCTCCCAGAAATAACTAAGTCAAAAGTCCACAAACACCAGGAGTTTCTAGCACAGAAACTTGTGTTCTCCAACAGCCAGGAAGGAGCAAGCCCAGCAGTGCCCAAGGTGACAGTGGGACTCATGCCACCAAGCTGGTGACTTGGTCCCAAGGAGCTGTTTGCATAGCATTTGTCAGACCTGAAGCAAGCCACCTTCTGCCCAGTGCCCTCTTGCACTGAGTCTGCTGCTGGTGAAAAGCAAAATGTTCTGTGCCATAGGGAAGGGTTGAAAAGAGCTATGGGTGGAGTGCTGCTTAATCCTATGAGCCAGAACTTCAGTGCCAAAGGGAAACCAGCTGGGGATGGTTGAGCCTACCATAGAGGCATGCCATGCTAGCAACTGGTCTTGCTGCATTGGAAATACTATCTGCCTCTGCCATCCCACATCTGGTGCTGCACTGGGAGAGAATCCTAAATAATTCAACCCTACTGTCATACAGTCAGACTCAGCTTGCACAGGCAGCTCCATACAAGATGTGTGGCGTGCTGAATTTGAAACACTGCGTTTGAAAGGCGCACATTTGTCTCTCACCAAGCCTCTGGCATTGCATGGCTGAGATGAAATTTGGGATGTTAAGTGACTCAGGGCTGTTGCTTGGAGATGTAGGCTTGTTGATGTAGAAGCATTCACTAGGCTGAGTGCTTTCCCCTAAACAATCTCAGGAGGAGAAGCTAGTGATCACAGTGATGGGTTAGCACAACTCCCATACAAGTTCCATCCCTCCAGCAGTACTGTTCTATTTTCCAAAGTGATAAACTAAAATCTTGCTTGCTGGAATGTGTTGATAATGCAGAATACATCCTATATGACTGGCAAACAGAGGCAGGGCTTCAGAAAGCAAGCCTGCATTCTCTTTAAAGCACAGGTAGCATTTTCACAGCTCTCTGTGTCAACAAGACATAAGTATGGGCCGTGTGTCCTCTGCAACTGGTTTGGTGTAATCCTCTTCTTTCTTTGCCTTCCTGTGTTGCAGCTTTTAAACTAGAGCGGCATGAGCAAGTTGTAAGATCCTCAAGCTATTGTTGCATGCGGCAGCACCTCCAGAAGACTGGTGATGTCAGGGCTCATGGCAAGGACGTGAAGAAGGCAGCCTTGATGAGCTTTCATCACCAGCAAAAATGTAGAGTGACAGTGGAAAGAACCAACACAAAGCAGGGAGAAATAAGGCTGCAGAGCCAGCTGGCACAAAGAAGCACTCTTCTGCTGATGGATCCAGCCTGCCCAGGTCAAAAGGGCCTTGTAAAGATGAAGCCATTGCTGCTGTTTAAGCAGGGAAAGGTCACAAAGCAGCTGTTCCTTTCTCCCCCTGCCCTCCTCCAGCAGCACGTGTATCTGAAGGCACACAGGCTAAGCTTCTGTACCGCACCCCTGCTCTGCATGCCTGCATCCTCCAAGCACTGCATATCGGAGTGTGAATTACAGCCAGCAATAATAATGAACTCACAAGATAATACCACTGGGGAGAGAACAAGGAAATTCAGGGCCAGAATACAGAAGCTCTCATTGGGCAGACGGAAGGATCTCTAACGAAGGATTTTGCAGCAGGGATCAGCTGAGATTCAAGCAGAGCAATGCAGTGCATCGAGCCCCTTACGTCTCTTGTTGCACACAATTCTTGCCAGAATTTTTCAAACTCCAGTTGGCAAAGTGTTTAATCACTTCATGGGGCTGCCTCCAAGGGAAAGGATTCAGAGAAGTGATAGCAAGTGGTAATTTTGGCCACTTAATTTAGATTGATTCATTTTAACAGGCTGCTCAACAATAGATACCACGTGGCCACGACCAAAGGACTTGCATGGTCTTTACTGAGATTTCAAGTAGGTGTGAAATACTCTAAAAATGCATCATTACTCCATGAGTGATAAAAGCTTAGTTACCCAAATGAATACAAGAATTGGCTCAAGCTCCAGAACAATTATTGCTGCTTTTCTCTTTAAGGTCATTCAGTGTTGCAGAATTGCTGAATTCCTGTTACGAAGTTGGAGAAGAGAACAACTTGCATCCCAGAGCTCCATCTCCTTGAGTCAAAGTGACCACAAGTATCAAATACATTTCCTTCTGGTGGGATGGAAACACCCTGCAGGGTTTGTTACCAAAAAAAATATGGGAAATGGTGAAGGAAGAGAGCGTTCCTTGAGGTGACCCTATATGTATACATACTGAGTGGTCAAATGGCTCAGAGCCTCAGCTACACAGCAGGCAATCAAAATCATTTGACTGGTGTTGCTGTGAGAGCTCGCTTTGCAGAATCCTGGCCACAAGCTGCCTTTGGGGGAGTGAGTTTCTTTAAAGGACATTTTAAGGCTATGCCTATCAACGTCTACGAACGTCCACGTGGCCAAAACGTGGCCTAAACGAAGACCTGCAAAATCACATGCTAAGGAGATATGAAATATTTCACCTGTCTCTTCCTCCAGTTTGGGAGTGTGACCCCTGTTCAAGGTTTATCTAAGGAATCACTGGTGAGACACTCCATCCATCCAATCCAAAGCACGTCCTTCTTCCAACCCATTGCTCAGACGGGCAAAACGTGATGCACCTGATTTGAGGTTTGACACCGCATATATTATTCTTGCTTTACTCTGGAGCAGGGGGAAAGGGAGAGAGAACGAGCAAGCACGCAACCACAGCATGTCTTATCTCACATTATAAAGTATGACAGATGTGGTTCTGTAATACATTTTGCAATTCAGAATAACAGACGGTCAAGGGAAAGGTTTTGAGATGAGATAGTAATAAAATCATTTTGCATTCCTAAATCAATGCGTGTACTGGTTCTAAATAACATTTTTTAAGAGTGATCTTCACTCCAACAGCACAGTGTGCCATTACTTGAGTAACTCAACACGCGAGATCAGACTTGGGTCAGGCACTGAGCACTAAGCCACAATGATGCCAACATCTCTAGAAAACAACGTCATCTTTAGTCCAGCTAAAACACAGAGAGCTTGGATACTTCTAGAACTGAAATCTCACTGTTGGCCAGCAAGACACAAAAATCCTTTTCCAACACTCTTGGCCACTGCTGACCTATAGCAGCCTGGAGACACCTACAGAACTGCTGACTTATGCTCCTGTGGACAATCACTGCAGATTTTGACTTGTTTGTGAGTTCAGGGTGAGTGCTATGTACTGAACATCTTGTTTGCAGTGAAATACCTACGTGGCAGAAAAACATAGAGGTGCATACAAAATCTTGCCCAACTGCTGCCAGTCCATGCGCTGCACTTTGGGAATTATGGTTTCAGGCCCCAAATAACAAGGCAGCCCTACCTTACGGCCTGTCCTACTGGAAGGATGCAAAGCTTTCAGGGGCTGGCTCACCCAAATGGCAGCTGTTCCTCCACATCCTGGGGCATCAGCACAGAAGTTCAGAAGTGGAACACCCAGCCACGTTCAGTCTCAGGGCAGCGGGAGACACAGCTGTGCAAGAGATGAGGACCCAGCAGTTAGGCAGAAATTCATTTCCCATTCACAGAAGTTGCAGCTTTGATCACCACCACCGTGACACTTATGAGGACGAAGCCTGGAGCATTTGCTGGAGCATTACCAGCTGCTGATGACAGCACTGTTTCAGTTTAGTTTTACCCAGCCCACATTCAGTAACAAAGCCCAAGCCCTAACGACAACATTGAGTTTGAAGTCCCCAGTGCACATCCACCTACAGGCATTCAAGTGAAGCATAAAATCAGCATAAAAAGGCATAAATTGGAAACAGGTCGCTCTTCATCCACAGTGGGGTTTTGTTCTAGCACAGCCTTGCTATATTTTCCATCAATTCCAAGAAAACACGGGCAGAGTGCACACAGGCGTGTCAAGAAAAGGAGAAATGACAAAAGAAAGGAAGAAGTCCACCTCTGAGAAATCACTGATTAAAATTGTTCCCAAGTTCCCATTCCCTCCACAGCCTGCAAAAGTCCAAGTTGGGTGGATAAAGTATCAGCCACGTGCCTGACTTACAGCACTGGGACTGAGGTTTGGGCAGCACTTCAAGACTTTCCCCTAGGAGCCTATCCAAACCCTCTTTGCTTCTGATGTGGAATAATTTGGAAGTGTTTTTAGGCTGCTGTCTGGGATAACACAAGGGCTATTGTAAACACATATGCAGCCAGTCAGCGTCAAGCCCACACAAATCTGGTACACACATAAATAACTAGTGAGCATTGTAAATAATTAATTGCATTTAAAGAGAAGAAGCGACCAATTTGCTGAGTAGGTCTTAAGAAGGGCAGAGTTTGTTACTTTTTTTCTTTTTTAATGGCAAGGGTTATGTATCACCTGATTTTAGTAAGTGGAAGGTACTTAAATGCAGTGCACTGCTTTTGTAGGTAGCCACAAGGGAAGCTATAGCCAGACCTTTTCACCATTCAGGCACAGCCACGCTAGGAGATAGAGAGGCCCTTCCTAGGATTCCCAAGTAGAACTTCTGTCTCTGGTATGTCTCATTGCATTCCTTCCATACCCTTCATTATTTCTTCAGAATTCCTCAGTAACTTCTAGTACTGACCTCAGGTGAATTGGACTGGGAGTTAAAGCAAACAGCAGCCAACCAGTCTGCCACATTCATAGATGCTGAGGTTTTACATCTTGTCCCCCAATGGATTTTGAGCAGAAACCCATTGTATGTTGGCAGGGAGAGTGAGCCTCGGTAGGAAGAAGATGGGAAACGATACAGGAGAAAGATTGCTCTGCAGTAATAAATGCAACTTGATAATTTAATGGAGCTGCACACAGCCACACTGTGACTGCCCCCAAAAAAGAAAAGCCGAAGATCAACCAGAAACACACAGGTGGAGAGAAGGACTTGTGGAGAAACAGGGGAAAAGCACATAGAAAAAGCACCATTAAGGCAATGATCTCCTCGAGATCATTATTCACTTTGAGCTTCTAACCAGAATCATTATGGAGATCGTTTCCAGATTTCAGTGACTCATTTTCACGTGAGAAACTTTAGAACCACAAGGCCTACAAAGTCATTATTATCACTATCTGCAGCAAGATAAGGAATACTCAGACTCAAGGTTTGACATGGCTGAGTATTGTACAAGCATCCTTTGCCAAGCCAAGGTATAGAACTGGTGGGGAGTGCCCAGGATTCGTGACCATTGAAGGGCCGATTATCAAAATAGTCTAAGAATATTCTCAAGGCTGGAATAAACTAAGACATGCACTTTTTAGAGATGCCTGCAATGCTCTGTAATTTTACAGCTTCCAAAAGCTAAGAAAAGCAAGGAGCTGCCAAGATTTCATCACTATTCACGTGTCAAGGCCAAAGAACTGCAAAAAGGTCAGTCTCACAGGTTATGAATATCAGAAAACTACAGCAACACAGTTATAACCAAAATACATGCAATTCCTAAAGCTCTTCTTATGGGTAAGCAGCAGGCAAGAGCTAGAGGAGCTAGAGTGATCATGTAACACACAATTTACAGCACCTACTGGTACCAACATGATACCATGTTAGCAAATGAACACGCCTGGTGCTGCAGAGGTGTTGCAGCATGCAAATAAAGCCTTGCTGCTCACACAGGTCATTTAACATCCATGTCTAACTTCTGTCACCTAGAAAACACCTAGAGATGCCTGCCATTCCCAGCAGCCATCCAGCTACTCACAGACAGCTGAGAAGTCACAGACAGCAGACAGAAATGGATGCTGTTTCAGTCCATTTTCTTGTAACGACCTTGCTATTTGATTTCAGCTCCATCCTCCTCTACTTCCATGTTTCTGATGGTGGGTGCACTGATGTGACCTCAGGCACATTGCTTAGCAGAGCATTCACCCGCTTTGCTCCAACCATAAGTTAAAGCCAAGTGCCCACAGACAGCAGTCAGCTCTAGTTGTCACCCACCAGCAGCCCTCTTTTCTCACCTTGCAGTAAGGGAGCCTTGGGTGTCTCCATAAGAAGAGATGCCAAGTTTCCATGTGGCCAAAGAAGGTTAGACTTGTAGTTCTGTATTTTATTTTATTTTTTTCTGATGTGATTTTGCAACAGTCCTCCAGTATTACAGCATATTTTCAGCAGGAAATTTCAGCCTGTATCAATCACTGCATATCCAAGTTGGGAAATTCCCTGTCAGCTCCAATTAATATCATGATTCCATTAGGAAGGGGTGTGGTGAACAGACTTCAGTTTAGACAAAAGCAGATGTGCCTCAACAACATACACTGCTAGGGCAGATCCTATTCTCTGAAATACACAGAAATTCCCCCTGTGCAATTCCAGCTTAACTCACACTCTGGATGCCAGGACATCAGGCCATCTGTGGATTGCAAGTCCTCACCCCATGGCCAGTTCTTTATGCAGCACAAAATGGAAGAAATTCTACAAAGAGGAATTCATTTAAAAGTCTGAGCTTGAAGAGTTTGGGGAAAAAAAAAAGTCTGCCCAGGGGAAAAGCATCTGGCTTGTTAGCAGGACGGAAAGCACGGTACAAATTCTTCCAACTGCCATCACATATTTTTCAGTGCAAGTCAGTGCAAAGTGAAGTAAGTTTCCCAGGAAGCAAGAGGCCAGAGCTCCAGTCAAAAGCATTTTAGCAAGGTATCATCAGAAATCCATGTTCTCAACACACCAGAGGCGCATTCCTTCTCCCTGGCACGCAGAAAAGAGTAAATTGGATAAAGCCAGCTTGACTTGTATTTGGGCCAGGATTTCAAGTGCTGGATCAACAATAATTAAGAGTTACACGATAAACATCACCATTTTGAGCAGGCCAGAACAGAGTATTCAGCAACATCTACATGAAGGCACTTGACTGTTCAGCCAGGCATTTTTCCCCGTGTTGTGCTGGCAGTGCAGGCTGTTCCAAAAGCTGGCATATCTCCATGATCATCAGCAGCTAAAAATCCAAGCATTTCTGGGCTCGTCATCAGAATATCTGAGAGTTTTCAAAACAGCCAAAAAATTTCAGAAGTATGTAATAGTTTGGTTTGCTTTGGTTGTTGAGAGCCCAACGCTGGAAATCTGCGCCTTGGACAGTCCTTGTAGGGAGAATAGGATGGGTTATACTCTCCCAAGGGAATGCCCAAGCCAAGAAGCAGCACCTTTCTAAAGCCAAGGGAGAGGGAAGATCCCCAGGATGATGAGCAGGGAGTACTGCAAGCAACAGTCATACCAGGGGTTTCAACACAAGATCTTACAGGGGGAAAGTAAAGGTATCCTGCAGCTCCATGGCCAAAGGATAGAACCACAGCTGGCCTTTACAAAAAGGTCTCAACCCATGATTTTATACAGGGAAAGCTGACGAGTTGAACAGACACATGAACACGCTTGATTTCTCCATCCTGATCAACCTCAGTCTTTAAACAAACTCCAGAGACAGAATTGTAAGCTACCCTGAAGACTCCGGGATCAAGCAGGTTGAAAAGAGGTACTCACAGCATCAGGAGGGAGTTGAGCAAGGAGGCCTGGGTGGTTTCCAGTTTGGGACTTTAGACCTTCATTTCCATCTCAGCCACATCTCCAACACTCAGCCCCTTTGATGCAGCACTTTTCAGCCTCTGACCTGCAGACCCTGGTGAGCTACGAATTACAGACAGGTCTCTGAAATGTGGGGAAAAAAAAGAAGAAACAAAACACTCTTTTCAGAGGGTTTAAATTCACTGTATGGGAGTCAGCAAGAAAATGCCTACTGCTACAAGTAATAAAGCCACACGTAACACTTGCCTCCATTCCTGCTTTCCTCCTAGAGCTCGCACACATCTGGCAGAAGCAAAAAGCAAGGAACATACTGCACTAAATAAGATGCCTTTGACCTGAGTCACCGAGTGGGACGCAGAGGAAAAACATTCGTTTGGAGACAAGGTGAAAGGCGTTACGCCAAAGAATTTTGCAACGGACAAAACAAGGCAAATACAAAACTCACGCCCATCGTGAAGCTGCCTGCCTCAAAGCAACCCCACAAATCACAACTGCACATGACAGCTCTGTTATCTCTCAACATCCCTATAACCTACAGAGCCGAGACACACTGGGATCCCCTGGAAGAAAATTCAGGGCTCAGCGGTGAGAATAAATCATGACTTAATGCAGTTATACTTAAACATCTCCAGCAAAGTGGTTGATGGCATTACAGCGCATCTCACACCCATTAACTGTGGGATATGCAAGTATCAGAGGCTTGGAAATGTAATCAGGGTGCATCCCTAATTGCTGCAACCAGATTCAACAATCAGCCCAGACTGGAAGGTTGAGAATTAGACTTGTGTTCGTTGCAGAATGGCATTTCTACCTACGGCTTTCGAGGCTGTCACTCCATACTGAGCTCAGTGATAGATTACAGTCACAACTAAGCACTACAGGCTAGTTTCTGAGGACAAAATCTGAGAGAGAGGAAAAATACAGCCACTGCACCTCAATCACAGCGCGCAGACACTCCACAAAGAGGAGAGTTCATCAAGCCAAAACAGCAAAAAAGCAAAGATTGTACAAGGGGTGAAGTGGAGCACGTTAGCAACTGAGTGGAAGCAAAGGGCATCGCCTTTTTCCTTTCATAAGCACGATGCTTGCTCAGAGGCAAGCAGAAGGAAGACAAAGGGAATAAAGGAGAGAAAGTTCTGATAAAGGTAAACTTATTCCAACGTTATGAAAGGCATTTTTATTTCAGATTGAAGCAGCTTCTGAGTTTGCTTCAGTTTTTATTGGGGGAAAAAAAAAAAATAATAAAGTGGGATAGTGTCAAAAAAAGTTCAGGGCAAATGAAAGTTAATGGATCAAAAGCATTTTCATCTTTCCTCCCAAGAGTTCCCCAAAAGCCTTCAGTAGGGTCAGCTGAAATTGCTTTCTGATTATTTTTTTTTAGTGAGTCCAGACCAATCAACAAATGCTTCAACCATCTTTAACTTTTCTTTAACCCACATTTCTCCCCTTGCAAAGCTATCTTCAGGCAGCTATCTTTACTAACTGCTGTATTACCGTGTGCAGCAGCTCAGCAGACTTTAAATCTTCAGTATTAAGGTTTGTCAGACGCTGTCTGCTTTTGTCAGATGTTAATCTCATCCCTTTGAATCTGGCAGAACAAGCCCTGCTGCCCACAGGTTTACACAGGGATGCATCACGTTGTCCTTCAGCAGGGAACTCCAGCTCACCGGAGTGCATAATCAATGCCATGTGAAGGTCTGTTCTTTGACAGAGCCCTCCATTGCAGGAGTTTTGCTTTTAATTCATGCAAACAACGAAGTCCTAACTGTTCTAACTGTGATATTTGGTGCTTTTTCCAAAGCTGCAGCTCAGAGAGGCTAACATGAGCATCCAAGCAGTCGCCCGTGCTTCTGAGCCTCGTGTTTGGGAAAGGACATCTCAACGACCCCCAAAGCACAAATGGGTTAAACAGACTTCTATGAAGAATCACACAGGTATCTCTGAGCTTATGTTGGAATGAGAGGAATCTGCTGGGTGGGGGCTGTGGTGCCTGTCCCAGGGCTATTTACTCCAATTCTTTTAAAGGCTAAAACCACGCTGCTTTCAGCCAAAGTTTTGTTTCATGTGGCTTTTCACCACCCGAGACACGAAGCGAACAACATCTATCATTCACACAAAGGAGTTAATTGCCTTTCTTCCCCACTCATTTTTGTCTTCTGCCTCTAGACAAGGGTATTCTTCCCCCATGCTAATTATTAATAGATGGAAGAAAGTTCACCTTGAGGTTGAGAGTTTTATAGAAAAATTAATTACAGGGCCCAACTTTACAATTACCGGTTAAGACACACATTATCAGCCACAAGACCCCTCAGGCTTTACCTGGCCCTGAAAAAAAGTTTGCAATGTGATGTGAGATTACTTGGAAGCTGAACTCCAGAGGAAGCACCAGAGCACAGGCAGGGCCACCAACAGCCTCCATAATGATGAACCATGGCTGGGAGGCATCAACAGGTCAGAAGAAGAAAGGAATAATAGGGCAGATACACCATCCTGTACTTGCCAAAATTTAAAAGAATGGAAGCTTAAGATCTTAAAGTAATGAGGCCACTGCACCAACAGTGTGACATTCAGCATCTGCTGAGGGTGCTCAGTAGCAGTAAATCTATTGAACAGGCTGAGAAGTAGTGAGTGGAAGACGATGCTCAATCAACGCAGTGAGGAAGCTCCCATTACACAAAACTTGTAAAAATCTTGATGTGCAAACTGTGTGCAGGTTCTCACATCAGCCTTTGGAGTCAGCAGTATGGAGCAGCTTAAGAAGATCAAGACCACTTGCATATTTAGACCTGCAAACACTTACATACACACTCTGGTATTTGCTGAATTGGTGCCTCATGCACTCCATTCCATAAATCCCCTTCCATTTCAGGCTCATGTGATGGAAAATGCTCTGTGAGCAACACAAATTACTGGCTGAAGTCAGAGGGAAAAGTATGGCAGAAAGTCACAGTCTGGAGAACACGAAAGACTCCTGGTTTATAAAACAAAACATTTAACAACCAGCAGAAGTCACGTTGGCATTACACAGCCAGGACTGCATACACTGCTGCGTGTGGACTTCATCCCTACTCTGGGAGCTCCACTGAGACAACTTCAACAGTGGTACACTCCAATAACGAATTGGATTCCTCTGAAGGAGGTGATGTTCAGACACCCCTTACCTGTGCACACGCATTTGTGGCTGTGCTTCCACTTCCAGCTTGGCTTTCTGTACATCCCTCAGTCACCACGCTCTCAATACACCTGAAACAGAGGGACATAGTTATTCTGTAAGTTCACACAGCACATGACACAGCTGCAGTCTGCTCCTTACAGCAATCTCGGGGATACATTTAACTCAGAAAGCAATTTAAAGCCAACATCTTGCCTAAAAAGCTGATACAGAAGGACACACAGCACGGCTCATAACCTGGTAATAATAATTCTACCACACGTCCGAGGTGCTCAGAGCACTTAGGAACATACCTCTCGGTTTCAAGAGGAGCCATGCATTGAGCACAAGCCAAACCAAAGTATTTCTCAACACACCCAGGGCTTTGCTAGCTAGTGTGCTAATCAACTTGGAAAAATTACCAGAAAATAATCAAGTGTCATATCAGCAACCTATGCAAATGGCAATTCCCCATCACATCTAGTCCTGAGCCATTTTTACAGTTCTTATCAAGAGGACTTTTTTGCTGCGAATATATCCTTTAAAAGTATCTTTAAAGCAAACCTATGAGATATGTGAGGAGAAGGGGAAAAAAAAAGTGACTGTCACAGGGAAACAAAGCAAGAAAAGAAGAGGAAGCAGGGAGTTGTGCATCACCATTGGTGGGCACTTGAATAGGAGCCCTGTGCTTGACACCGCTGACTTGGAACAAAACTGAAGTCAAACAGCTATTTGTCAAGGGATACAAATGCACACAAGTGGTGAGAACCTGGCCCTTCTGTAAAAATGTGTCAGGGACTTTTCTGTAGGGCTGCGCCGAGCTCCGTGATGGATTGTTGTACTCTGAGGACAGCATTGTGAGCAGCAATAATAAGGCATCTGGTCAATGCTCTTTCTGAAAGAATATTTTGGCTCGACAGGAATCACGTGAGTGGTTCCATGTACAATGCACAGCCTCACTGCCACGGATCAGAGGGCTGGGTCCATCCATCCATCCACTTTCAGCTCCACCAGGCCAGTTCCAGGATGTGCAGCATCACTTTCATATCTTCTGGACACCTAATGAAAGCAATAATACCACATTAGCTCCTGCAGCCTCGATACCCCACTGAAAGCCCCCTTGTTGGTCTTAACCATTCTTCTTGCATTGCCACAGAACTGTGAGCAGGAAGAGGAGGCAGGCACCACTGCTACTCACAGGCCATAACAACCCCTTTGGTTAACTCAGAACTGCTTTGCTGGGCAAGGCAAGGAGCTGCTTTAACGTGGGACCATAGTGCACAACATCTCCTCAACCAAAGTGTCATTCAGCCAGGGAGGAGGGAAGGATGAGCTTCATGAAGATTTCATCAAGCTGCCAGGGTAAATCTGCCCCTTGGCTGCAGGTAAACTACCAATAGCTCCTTGGAAGACATCCCACACCTACACACTGACAGTGAGAACAGAAACGAAGAGAGGAAGACATGGGACAAGCACACAGTGCTGGGTTGAGCAACATAAGATTTCCTTAACCCGTGCCCCTGAAACCAGATGGCAAGCCAAAGTTTTCTCTGACAAGCAATAGAATCAGAACTGACGCGACTGGAAAAAACAAGCTCAATTCCTGTTGGCAGGATATTAATTTAGAAATCTCTGGTGTCACTGCCCTGATTCACAATGAATTTGAAACCAAACTTTCCTAGTGCCAGATGACACAGAGATTTGACAGAGAAGGTAATTGGAGGAAATGGCTGTGTAATCTAGCTATTGTGCTGGCGAAACCCAGCTCTCCTAAAGAACAAGGTTCACTTTGTGGCATGGCTGATTCGTTGTCCTTTATTTGTCCCCAGTGCCTCTTGACTTCCCTCTGCTTGGCAGGGACGGTGGCACAGTTCCTTCTAAACAGTGTCAAAGGGTGGGCAAACCTGACCTTGAGCAGAGTTCTGGCCAAAGCTACCAGCCCTTGTAATCACATCCTGAGTGACATACTGCACACATCCCTGAAAGAGGAGAGCTCCTACCAAGGGAGCTCCTCACCAGCCAGATGCCCTAGATCCTAATCATTGGGTCATCCATTAGGTCCTAACTGTTGGGCTATCCATGAGGTCCTAATTGTTGGGTCACCCATTCTTCTTCTTCTAGAAAAGAGAATAAAGACACAGGCTGCACTCTGGGAAAAAGAAACAAAAATCAGCTTGCACTGAGAGACAAAAGAGATTGCTGTGGCTCTGCAAGGAAAGAGGAAAAAGGAAAAGGGGGGGATCAGAGTGAAGAAATTCCAAAATGCATTCTGTGCAAAATTCAACAGCATTTGCCTAGAAATGTCCACAAACACATGTACTGACCCACAAGACTCAGCATTTTTCCACTGTTGTAATAATAACCATTTTATTGACCTGTGTGTCCATGGTACTCCACTAATCACTTTGTTTTTCTAACTGTCACTATCTAGACTGGACGGTGAGCTGCTCTGGGTGAATGTCAAATCTACTCTGTACCTTTGAGATCTGATAACTCAGCTGCTGGAGCACCATGAAACTCTATACCTCTTAGCTGTGCACATCGAATCGATGGCAAGTCCCCTTTGGGAGCCCTGCTAAAATGTGCTCTTGCCCTTCAGAAGGCTCCTCTCTATTTCAATAAACAATCTGGAGAACGGAGTGTAACAGCACTCTAACCTACCCTCATACCTGAACACATCTTTTTTTGCTCCATTCACCAATTACATGAGCACCATATGGATATAAAGCATATGAATGCCAGTGAATGCATATGAAGCCAGTGATTTCGTGGAGGAGGAGTGAAGGAGCTCAATTATTTTTTCCTCATCTGCTAGCAAAAAAATATTAGGATAGTAAACAGAGCTAGCAATCACATAGGAATGCCCGGGAGAGCCCTTGCCTGCTGGTATGCAGATCTCTCATCTGGAATTCATTTATTCCTGTTCTCTATTCATACTATTAAGCTACAGCAGTGACCGGGCAAGAACATATTCAAAAGAGACCTGAAGTTATTGAGGAGTCCAGTGTCACCTCTGAAAATAAAGAACCTGAAGCAGCAGACTGGTATTTCACCATTTTCAACAGCATCACCTGACAATTCAGCATTACTTCATAGAGATGGCTCCCATCATTCCGGAAGGGCAGGATACTTCCACCTCCTTTCCACAAATTCTGTTAGCAAAAGTAGAAAGCATCTCTGTTAGACCGCAAGTTAAAAAGGCCCAAATTCATCCTTAGGCCAAACCAAGATGAGCCACATCCAGGTCCCAGTGGAGGCACGAGTTGGATTCAATGGGTCCTTTCCAACTTGGGGCAATCTGTGATCCTACTGATCTGTCAGACCTCGCAGCTTCAATTGTGGTGCATCCTGGGTGCCCTTAAATTGGATGAAAGAATGCACAGGAAAATGGTGTATTTGCCTGCTGGGTCTTACTCTGCATCCCATTTCACTTCTAATTCCCCTGAAAGCAGAGGATCATCCACATCTTGTTTAATTACATTCAGTAATTTAAACTGCCGCAGAAAACCCGCTTTGCCTATAATCATTTAGAGGTCTATAGAAATCCCTTAGCCTGGTGGAAAATGTAGATGTGTAATTAGTATATTCCCCTTAACTGCAGCCTCATTTCTCTGTGCAACAACACGTGTGCAGGTATGCGCAGCAGTCCACTTGGCTTACCCTGCATGTGGTTCCTGGGGGGTCTGAAAGGCAGAAGTTCTTGGGGGTGTGAGCAGAAGGTGCAGCAGGAAATCAGATGCCCCTGGGATCCCTGCACCTCTCTCCACCACAGCCTCCTACAGACAGCTCCAGGGCTCAGCTTACACCCAGCAGTGCTCCAGGAGGGGACCACACGTACTAAGGATGGAGAAAAAAAAGCACACGTAAAGATCCTGGAAGTCTCAGGGCAAGTAAATTACTGTTAATTGTGAGATATTTGATTGCAAGAAGCACCAGATGGCCAGCCATATGTTTTTGATTGTAAAATTAAACAAGATTAACCCAAACAGGATTTCCTCAGCATTCTTCTCTGACTGGCTCACAAATACATCTTTAACACCTATGCTACAGATATGGCACAGTCAGAAGCTCTTCCTGCCTCTCCCTAATCTGCCTGGGCTAAATACTCAGCCAAGCAATACCCTGCACTTAAAGATTTCCAAGAAGCAAGATATGCTTTTTGCAGGCATGGCCAAACCGCTCTCTACTCCAAGATAGAAGAATTCTGAGGCAAAACCCTGCAGATATCAGCTCAGTGAGTTGCAGGTCTAGCAAGTTTGTATGTCTCAGCTACCAAACCCATAGAGTCAGCTGCCTCTTGTGCTCTCCCTGGAAGATGGACTTTAGCCAGAAAGGCCTTTCCAAGCCCACCCAGCTACCATACGCACACACGCGTTATCGTATGGGATCTCACAGCTGAGCCCCTGTCTCTTTGCAAGCTTTTCTCATGCAGATTATGCACTTCATCGTTTGTTTGGAGCAAATCAGTTGTGAACTGAACATAAAGGGTGTTCCAGGGGAGATCTCCCATTCCCCAGCACAAATCCCCAGGACACCGCGCGTCCAGAAACTATCAATAACACTCTGCTCACACCCTCCTATCTTATCATATGCAGGCAGACAACATGTTTGGAGAGTTTAATTGCCCATCAGCCAACAGACAACGGGCCAGGGCTCTAGATCATGTAAACATGATTTTTTTTTTCTTTTAACTTTGACTATCTCCACTTTCAGGGTTTCTCTGGAGGGCAAAATGCCTTTCTTTGTCTTTCTTTCGGCAGAAGAGCCAGCCCATTGCACGCCAGGCAGTCCTTCTCCCTTAATGCTGCTGCTACTGAAGATGGAAGAGCTGGGGCAACACTGGAGAGAAGGACAGCAGTTCCATAGGAAACAAGAACAGAGCCATGGAGAATGGAGATTTGGCCCATTTAAGCAAGCACCCAGCTGTAAAATGCGGTGGGTGATTCCAGCTTTCCACTTGCAAGGTGGTGTGGCTGAGTCCTCAGAGGATCTGGAGGACACATCCCGTGGCTGTTGCTCCCTCAGCATCCCCTCTGGACACAGAAGGGAGTGCAGCTGGGTTGTGCCTGGCCACCCGCCTGCATCCTGGAGACAAGTGCAGAGAAGGGCTGCACACATCGAGTCTCCTGAGTGCATGTAAAACTTCAATTCAGCCCTGCTTACTGCTGAGCAAGCTCATGGTTTACATCTGACTCAATCCTGGTCACACACAGCAGATCACATGCCCAGAAATGCAGTTTGACTCCCAGCTCAGCCATCTCTGTCCTTGCACTTGACTGATTCGTGGTCATTTCACACACATAGTGCAGGATCCCTGCAGTTTGGGATGGAGTCTCTAATAAACAACAGTGTGAACCCTCCTCCACGATGCCAAGCAAAATGAACCCAAAAAAACAAGTTGCTGACAGAGCAAAGTATCCCGCTTGCAAATGCAGAACAGTCTGGCTTAGCAGTGAGGTGATAACAAGAGGCACCAAGGCAGAGACAGGTTGTCCACCCCTTCCCAGACTGCAAATTATAGAATCACAGAATGGGTTGGGTTGGAAGGAACTTTAAAAATCATCTAGTTCCAAACCCCAGACCCAGGCTGGAGGTGGCCCAGAGGCCCATTCTCTGCTGCACTTTGATGCTTTCCATCCCACTGGAAGCTACCTAAAGAATATCCAGTTCCTCCAAGGACAAGCCATCTATCTGTCTCAGACCAAAGCCCTTGGAGCTGCACAAAGGACAGCTCTGCTCTGTAATCCTGGGTATGAGGGAGATCTTAGTAAAGTGAAACATGACCTACAGGTGCATTCAGCTGACAAACTCTAGCAGGTCTTCCCCAAGCACTCCAGATTATTTTGGTCAGGTTTGGAGAGATACACAGAAACCACAGCACCAATGCACAGACCCTTACCTCCTCTCCCGCCCCCTCCTCCAGCACCACCTAATTTCAAAGCAGCTGCTCCAAAGTATGCTGCACTTTTCCCCCCCACACCTTTTCCACAGGAGAGAGCCAGGCTTGATTTAAGGCAGACAAATTTGTCTGATTTTCCACTGTCTTATTCTTAGAAATGCCTGGGTCACTCCAAGCTGATATTTCCCTTGAAAACCTGACTCCAAGGCAGACACCTCAGGTGGAAAACTCCAGTCCCAAAAGGCAAAGCCTGACAAAGATGTATGCAATTGGAAAGAGTATCCTGCCATAAGAACGGAGCAGGGAATTACCATATAAGCACCGGATATGACATAGTTATAAAGCAGAGCTTAAAAAGCCAGTTTTTAAACGAAGAGAACATATGCTTTGAGAAAAGCCCCATGAAAAATGTTTCTTTTGCCAAAAGAGTAAAAGGAAACCCATTTTAGTTGAAAAATCCAGCTTTTAAAGGCAGTCCCAAGTCGACGAGGTATAAAAATGAATTCAGAGCTCTTCTGCTACTTTTTTGTCTTCCCAGCAGAGCATCCAGTGCTTTCCCTGACAACCACTCCTCCACAGCCAGCTGGGAGATGCTCCAGGAGGTGGAAGCACAAATAAAAATAGAATAAAACATATATTTAAAAAAAAAAAAACAACAAACAACAAACAGTAGAAAATTTACAAGCTTTTTAAACATGATTTATCCACGTTGGGTACTTCTCTATCTAACCAGATGCTTCCAAATGTCTGGCAATAGAGAAAAAGCCGTAATTTTACCCCTGTGATATACAACTTACCCATATTAGACTTGCAGAGAAACAATCCCAGCTGTTGCAGCCAGGGATGGGGATGGGAAGGGGGCTGTATTTGACCCCAGTTCCCATGAGCTGCCTGAGAAAGGCACCTCCAGAGATGCTCCGTAGCAGGAGAAGAGGCAGTCGTGCCTTTGTAGGCAGCTGGCTGATGGAGGATGGATGGGCAGAGCCCATCCAACGTTGATCATCTGCACACAAGGGGCCTGCAGAGAGAGGCAGGTTACAGTTGAACTCAACCAGATCACAGGTTGCTGCCAAACCCAGGCAGCATCTCAGCATTGGACAGCGCGGCGCATGTCTTTTATCAGCTAGTTCTATGCAATGCACAGATAAAGATGGGAAAACCAGGGCTGGGAAACAAACTGGGAAAAAAGAAAGACAGGCTGTTAGCCTGAAGAATGGCTTGTCTGTTTTGTCTGAAATCTAAGGGCTAATCTAACAAGAGAGATTGCTTCCTACAAACCTCGCCTCACTTCTGGGAGCACTGCAGGCAGCAAGATCATCAGTGCATGGGGAGGGAACACACATAGCTCTTGTTCCATCAGCACTACAGCCTGAAAACGGCTCTTACAGAGCATAATCACTTGTGCATGTTGGTGAAAGGACCGGAGAAATGACCCCTGGCAAGAAGCTTAGCCTGAACAAACAGTGGGGACCAGGAATTCAGTCCTCTGGGAAAGCAACCACTGCTGCAGGTTGTAAGGTCTGTCCTCATCCAGCCTCCTTTCTCTGAGAACAGGGGTAGGTTCTTCCACGCCGCTTTCCTCTGCGGTTAAGGGTCAGCTGCAGCAGTGCTGGGCTGAGACCTCTGTCTGATCCAGCTCAAGGGCAGCGACTCGTCGGCACAAACCAGACCGCAGAGCAAGCCTGGGAAACGCCAACTGAACAACAAATGGAAAAAGCCAGAGAGCAGCCATGCTCTGAAGAGGGAAGGCAGGATGCTGTTGGGATTTCAGGCTGCTGGTCCAGGTGGGGCTTTGCCTGCGGCACCACTGATAGGACCCGAGTCCTCCCCAGCCAGTGCAAAGCAGAGATAAGGCCCTGGGACTCAGCGTGGAGCAAGGCAAGAATCAGCCCAGAGTTTCTATGGGGCAGGAGACAACAGAAGGCGCAATCAAACCAAACCCAGATGGGTTTCATTTACCCCAAGAAATATAGTGCTGGTATCCAAACAGGTGCCTCAACTATAGAGGCAGTAAAGGGCAGACAAACCCCTTCCCTGTAAATCACCTGGCCTAGACAAATCCAGCAGCTTTAACCACTAGCAACAGCTACACAGACTCCAGGAGAGCCTTTGCCTGAGCAGCCTTTCCTTATGCACGTTGCAGGCAGCTCCAAATCGCTTCTTGCCTTCAGCAGGAAACAGCCTTGCCTGCCCCAAACCCCTCCAAGCACCAACACAAAACACAGTCAAAAAGCCACTGGTCCCAAAAAGCAGTACATGTACTGAAGCACCTGCCCATGCAAGTAAATTCCACTCACTTCCACTGAATTACCTGGGCCAGGCTCTGCAGCCACATGAACGTATATAACCCACTCATGTCGATGGGCACCATGCAATTTATACCTGTAGGTGCTCTTAACCCTTATAAAAACAGCATCCAGGGTTGGACCTTGTTTGAAGGGCAAGTTTTCAAAAATACCCCAGTAAAGCACAAGACTTCTGTAAGTCAGCAGAGAGTGCACTTACAGTTTCAGAGGAGTCACAGAGCTGAACCTGTCTCAGGGTCTGGTTTTTGTTCTTTATTAATCACTTTCATGGGCCTTTGCACTTTTGGATTCCAGCCTGACTGGAAGCAGCAGATGCTGGAAACCTCACAAAGCTTTCCAAGTGTGAAACCCCTCCCTGGAGGGGTGTAATGCACTTCAGGTTTGCATCTCAATTTTCAGGGGCTGAGCCAAGCAGTCACCTCTCAGGCATCCAGAATGTTTGCTGGTAGGAAAGCTTACAGCCTTCAATACAGGTTTTCATCCCAAAGCACCTTTTTCCAAAGCAGGACTGAGAGACCTGGTGCGAAGAGGTGATGGCAGATCCATGGTGCTGGAAGGCAGAAGGAGAGCAGCTTATCACTGGGGCTGCTGATGCTTTTCTTACTGAACACTCCCCTCTCTTCCTTACCCAGGGATCTCCTAGCTTCCACCACCCTATAATTTGACTGTACAAACAATGCTTGGCACTCACCTCCACCAAAAGACTCAACAGTCAGGTGAGAGTTAGAAAGCTTCAAGTATTGCCAAAACGAAACGTGGCTCAGACACGCAGAGCAAGCCTGCCTCTTGGCCAAGAGAGCTGGGGCATGCATGGGGAAAAGCCTCCCTCTCTCTTTTTGCTGTTTTATTCTCCAGACTTACAATGAGGGCCGTTCTCTCCCGGAAGAAGGAATCCTCGGCACTCCAACTTTGTAGTAATTCACTGCCAAAGAAGGTAAAGATGCTCCTCCGCCAGCCAGCTTTCCACTACACCACCACATTGGGCCCATGATGAACCAGCCAAGCTGAACCAAGAGGAAGCAGTGGCCGGGAATCCTCGAGTGCCTGCAGAATCAGTGTTTCCAACTGACTGCCTCCCTCGCTCCTTCGAATCCGTCAACCAAGAACGCTGCATTCACCAGTCCAGACAGGACGGGAAATGAGAAGAGAGATTTTCTTTCCATCACCACTCTCTTTATAAAAGCATCACCTCCGCCCCTCGCCAAAGCAATGGGGTAACCTTGAAATCGAAGCCAGCCACTGAAACAAGTTGGCTGGGTTAGAGAAAAGAACTCAGGACCACATCCTACAGGGCTCAGCACCCTCTGCACGGCACAGGATTCCCATACCTTTCATCTTGAATGGAAAACCAAGGCCTATGGCCAGGCCACAGAGGAATTATGGGCTGCTTAGAGAAGTCCCACCCAAAGTTCAGGTAGCAGATGTTTTTGATAGGGAGGCAAAAACGAGTAGGGTAACCTCCAGAAGAGGTTTATTTCTTTGTCACGTATAATCTGGAGCGAGTGAATCCCCTTTCTCCCCATCGTTACCCAGGACAGTGAGAGGCAAAGACATACAACCCAAGTGCTCCATACTAAGAACATCCAAGCGTCATGGGGCCATTGGACAAAGTCCCAGATCAATGTGGAAGCAATGGGAAGAGATCCCCACAAGCTGCTGCAATGGGAGCTGCAACCCCGAGACACGGAGAGATCCAGGCTGATGCACAATGCCTGCACTTTGGCTCACTGTGTAAGCCAGATTCCCCACTGCAGAACACATAAATGTGCCTGTAGGTGGCCTAAAAACACTGACTTATTAAAAAGAAAGAGGAGGGGAGGGGGAATGAATGCAAAGTCTGTCAGCCTTTCACCAAATTGGATTTGTGTGTGTGTGTGTGTGTGTGTGTGTGTGTGTGTGTGTGTGTGTTGTCGGAGCTCGTTTTGCAAAGATTTACATTTTTGTGTGTGTTGTCATGTGCTTTTCATGCATTTTGAGACCTCAGAGTTTAGAAATTCAAAACACCTGTCAGTCACATCAATCCCTCTGGACAAAACAGAGCTGCCACTTGGATGGGTAAAAAAATAAAAACAAACAAAAAGCACTTTTCTGTCAAGCTGTGACTTGGTCACCCTACTCAAAGAGACGAAAACAATGTTCAGAGAAAGAAAAAAGAAAGATTTGAGTTTTCATACTCGGCGGTGGAACTAAATTGATTAAGGGCATTTCCTAGGTAGGTTCGAAATCTTCTGCAACAATTTTTGAAAAGAAAAAGGAAAGTGCCCTTCTAAAAAAGGGAAAAGCCACCACTGCAAAAACATTAAATCTGCCTGGGTAACTCAGAATATATGTTGGCAAGGCAACATATCACAGCTTGAACAGTAAACCTGCTATGTCAGGGGCTCTGCAACATATGAAAGGGACTTGGGCTTCAATATATCATGCTGAATTTACTTCTTTTCAGCCTTTCATGGCAAAGCATTTGATGTCTATCCTTTCACTGTTGCAGTCGATAGGGTAACCTTCCTTAAGAGTTTCCTGACCTTTGCTGTTGTCAGTATTGTTCTGTTACAATGTAATTTAACTCTTTTTCTTTAGTCTGGAAATGGTACTGTACGGATAGTAAACATGATAGGGTTTGGGTTTGTTTTTTTCCCCTCTAACCTAGAGGAGAGAGGTAAAAGCATCCATCATCAGAGCTGGCTTGAAACCAGCCGATGTCAAGAGGCGGTCGACACACAGCAGCCCGGATCCTCTGCTGATGAGGACCCACTGAGCAGCACAGATTTCACACTTCTCATTTGCGTTGTGCCCCCTGGCATCAGCACAGGATCTGGGTGGTTTCCCAGCACTCTGTTTTGCGAAAACTTTTGGATGCTTGCCCTCAAGGGTTGAAGCCTAGTGCCATGATTCGGCTGCATTCTGACTGAGCTGTAAGAGGGAGAGCATCAGGATGTGCCTGCAGTGAGCTGTTTCTCTATGCTGCTGCCATAAGGACAGATGTACTTGTGCATGGAACTCTGCAGCAGACCAGCTTCTGTTGGGCTCGTGATCTCAGTTGGAAAGAGAACAGCTTACCGTGGAGGAGGCAGGCTCAAAATGAGCATTTATCCCCAACTTCTGGCTGTTATCACACTCTGCCCATCAGGGAAAAGGCCCTGGGAAGCAGCGGAACTTAAAAACAAAGGTATCAAGGCAGGGACAGAAGCTCAGATGTTTATCCACAGTACCAAGAGGCTTCCCTAGGTTCACAGCATTACAAGGATGCTGGCACCTCTTTGGTGCTATGAGGTCAGAACACTTCCAGGACTGAGGCCTTCAGATAACACCTTGCACTCCCATAACCCTTGGAAAACAGAGATTGAAACCAACTAAAGAACAAAACAAAGGGATCTGTTTTCAAAGAACTACCAAAACAGAAGGGGATCGATTTTTCCTCACGATTACGGCGTTTGAAAGGCCAGGTTGCTTTGGGGATACAGCTGGATTATCCATTGCAGGATCTTTATGAGCCTGCTTTCAATCATATTACGGTCCTGTAATGGATATACTTTTGCAAAAGCAATTTCACGTTGCTTTTATCTGTTTCGTTGCCATTATTACGTCTTTGTGTTATTGCTGTACATGGGTATTACACTGCATTAGTGCTGCAGAGGCACACACATGCACACACACACACACACACACACACACACACACACACACACACACAC